ACCTTGCGAGTGGTTCATATGTGACGACGACAACAGCAGGACGAGATTCTTTGTCATCCAGGTTCGTGTAGTTTTTCCCATGATCGTGGATTCTCGTCTCTCAGTCAATATCGCGAGCCCATTAAAGACGCATGAGATCTCGCTCCTGCAGGGCTCTGAATCTTTGGCTTCCTGGCAAGCAAATCTCCTTTTCGAGCCGATTCAATTCGAGGTGAGCCTCGCGTCTTTCTCGGCTGATCTCCGTCGGAATCCATTCTCTTTGCGTTGAACAGCGCTTCAACGAGAGCCCTCTTCTGCAACTCCGTGCAGGGATTGGATGTGCTGGTCCACAGAGGCATCTATGAAGCAGCGAAGGGGATCTACCGACAGATGCTGCCGTACGTCCGAGATCACCTTAAGTCCCGCGGCGGCGGCGCCGCCTTCCGCTTCACCGGGCACTCCCTGGGGGGCAGCCTTTCGCTGCTCGTGAACCTCATGCTGTTGATCAGAGGGGAGGTTCCGGCCTCATCTCTTCTTCCCGTCGTGACATTCGGCGCGCCGTCCATAATGTGCGGGGGAGACCATCTGCTCAAGAAACTGGGCCTGCCAAGGAGCCATGTCCAATCTGTAACCATGCACAGGGACATCGTGCCGCGGGCATTCTCCTGCAACTACCCAGATCACGTCGCTGAGATCCTCAAAGCCCTCAACGGCAACTTCCGCAAGCACCCTTGTCTCAAGCACCAGGTGGGTACCTCGGATTTTACCTTGGATTTCATTAATAATCGGGAAAGATTCGAAATTTGACGAGAAAAACTCCTGCCATTTTGCGTGCTGTTCTCCCTCAAGAAACTACTGTACGCGCCCATGGGGGAGCTGCTGATTCTCCAGCCAGAGGAGAAGTTCTCTCCTCACCACGACCTTCTCCCCTCCGGCACCGGCCTCTATGTCCTCGGAGCCCACAGATCTTCCAACTCCGACGACTCGGGGAGGCTGCTGCGGGCCGCCCAGTCCGTGTTCCTCAACTCTCCCCACCCCCTGGAGATCCTCAGCGACCGGGCGGCGTACGGCGCGGAGGGCACCGTGTACAGGGACCACGACGTCAACGCCTACTTGCGGTCCGTTCGCGGCGTAATCCACCGCGAGTTAAGGCAAATCAGGAAGGCCAAGAGGGAGCAGCGCCGCCAGCTGTGGTGGCCTCTGGTCGCCGCTCAGAGGGTCAACGACGCCAGCGGGCAGCTGGCGAGGAGGAGAGTAAACTCTGGCCATCGCCAAGTCAGCTTCCCAGGGATGCTTCAGAGCGGGAGCGAGTCTCTGGGGCGTCTCGGGAAGCTGGCAGTCTCTCGACACGTGCAGGTGCTCTTGGTGCTGCTCCTGCCCGCAAAGCTGCTGATACTCGGGGCCTTGAGCATCGTCCCCCTTGGCTAAAACTCGAGCTTGGGGCGGCGGCGGCGAGGTCCCATACTTTCCGTTTTTCTCTTGTCGGCTCCTAATTCTTTATTCGTTCCTCGCGCCGCTGCTTCGGTCTCCCTTCAGAAAGTCTTTGCTCCGCTTCGGGGGAGGAGCACAGAAAAATGTCACGTCTTTCTCTCTCTATCTCTCTCTCTCTCATTCTTTACTTCCCCCGGTGTAAAGTCAAGTGGACATAAAATTGTAGTCGGCAGAAATATCTTCCCATCATGGAACGCCCTTGGGTCGGATTAGTTTTGCTGACATGATTGGTAGGCTGGTGCAAGCAGATATCACCCGTCGGAATCACTGATATTAATTAAATACGAGAAATCTTGTTGGCTGTGTACCCAGTCCGGGAGGTCTGAGTGGAGCGTTTTCTTTTCGAGCTGATTGCCCAGTATTTGACCGTATATTGGCTCGTCGGAATACCTCCCGGCGCGCGCTGGCGGCTTCCTCCGATGATCAGATGTACTCGTCATCCGGGCGGTCCGTCAAAGGCCGGAGAGACCCGCGAGTAAGGTTGCGATTGCCGTTGGACCAACTGACTGCTATCCGTTCCTCTCCATCACCCGCTGGCCCCGTCGTCCATCACCGGAGTAAGGATGTGTCTCCATCACCCGCCGGTCCTCGTCCTCTTCGTCTTCCAACTCTCCCCTTCTGATACGACACGCTAGCGTTCCACTGCGCCGGCCCAAAACCCGCAATCTACGTCTTGTCCCGCAACGTGGGATCGCGTAGCGCGCGGAAACAATGTGCAACTTACCGGACCAGAACGGCCGGTGGTGGTCTGCTCCTGCGCACCGCCTGGTCTACAGTGGTGGCGGTCGCGCCGGCAGAAGCTGACGTGCCGGCGCCGACCCCCTGTTCTGGTCCTGACCGGAGGAGGGAAAGCGCTCCCCGCGGACTATGGTAGGGGAGGCAGTCCACCTCTGCAAGAGACGTGCACGGGGACCGATTGCTTCGAGTCAAAGCCCTGGCCTTGTCGCGTCTTGTCCGCGTGGCGGGCGGTGGGCCCACTCGCGCTGCCCTATCCACGCGGTTGCCAGCTGCTGCGTTGAGGACACGTCAGCCGTCGGCAGGAGGGAGATGAGCGAGTAAGGGTGACACGCCAGCGTGGGGCGGGAGGAAGCAGATGACGACGACCATGCGAGTCGTCTAGTCTGGTTACTGTTTCCGGTCGTTTGCTCTTTCTTGCCGTGCGAGGGGACGACGCTTCACGGGTCCCCTTTCGACGGCCTTGGCCCAACGCCATCTGAGCGCATAATCGCCTACCACTAGAAGTCCCTTCGCGGGTGGGGTCTCTGGTTGGGGGAGGAGGTGGAGAGGCTGACCGATTCCTTTCCAGCTCCACCCTACCCGAGGTTACACCAGAAGTAACCTCGGCGTGAGGAAGCGGACAAGGGGAGAGAGAGAGAGAGAGAGAGAGAATGTCCCAGCCAAGCTGGGCCTGTTCATCTTTTCCGAGCTGATGTTGGACCTGACCACTAGGCCCATTGGCACGTCTATTAAAAGCTATATCTGGCGCGTGAAAATCAGAGAGAATGATCAAGGGGAAGACCGAAATGTAGGCAGGAAAGCTCGTGGTATCCCATTCGACGACCCTTTGAAAGAGAGAAATCTACGACATTCTCAATTCTTTTGGTAAGTGTCAGAGCCGGCTGGTTTCACGAGCAATAAAAATGGGTCAATTCTGTTTTAGATGAAAATACGCATGAATGGGTTTTGGGCATGAAGAAAGCCGTGCAAACGACCCTACCAAATCAAGTCGTATAAAACGAACTGCTCTGCCCTCAGAAACCACACCGAAGAGACTCACTCGCGCACGAGCTGGAATCGCGTTCGCATTTACATGGGTATATGCTACAAGAATGCACCGGCAAAATTCATAAGCTCTGCGGTTGGTGAAGCACAGCGCCGCGGTCCACTCCGGGTCGTTTAGGGGGTTGGGGGCTGCTGATGCTGCTGCGCCTCAAAGCAGCCTCAAAAAAACTGGTACAGCTTGCCACCATGAAGAACAAGAATAAATATGTAAAAGAAGAAGTCTTCAGCTGCATCTTGCCCATATTAGGAACTACGGCCTAATAATGACAGTCCTGAGTCCCTTCCGAGTCCAGAACTTTGAGAGTCTCCAGAAATAGGCTGCAATTTACAAATGGGATAGTTCAGGTCATTCCGGTATTGCCATGATCTTGGTCTACGCTACCTGAAAATTGAGCTAAATGGGCATATTAATATAGCCTGATACGGAGCAGGGGTCAGAGTTTTTGATCCTACAGCATTGCCCAGAACAGAACTTCTTTCCACGAAAAAAATCTAAACGTGGAAAATAAATGCCATGTAAGAAGTAGGAGAGAGAATCGAGATATTGCCACATGGCATCAATGGATTGAAGATGAATTTACCCAAAAAAAAAAAAAGAAAAGCGGATAGAATAATCTCCACGAAAATAACAAATCTTGGCAGGATAGTCTAGATGTTACTAGGTGAGATGCACTTCTTAGAGAAAAATCAAAAAGACAATTCTAAATATAAAACAAACATGAATGAAGCGGACAAAAGATCACTGAAATATGAATGCTTTAAAATTTGACACGGTGAATGATCAATTTATGGGGCAGATACTGCAACGAAACACCAACAAGAAGATCCTGAAGGAACTAGAGGAGTACCTTCCCGTTGTTTGTAGACAAAAAGAATGGTTCTTGCTCCCGTATTCCACCAGAGTCTTCGATAATTTTTAGTAAGTCCTGTTGAGACATTTCTAACAGTTAATCTGCGACTCATTCGAACTACATGCAACATCCGCGTAATGAGAATGGCCTGTCACTCCCAGGTTTGACATTAGAAATAGCCGCGTAAGGTTTAGAAGCCTTCATTCCTGAAGAGCTCGAGGGCAAAAATCTTCCTGAAGAGCATCTGCACACCTTATGCTGTGAGACAAAACCCAGCTGTACAGACAGCCAGCGGGGAGGCGAAAACACCACCCACATTTGGATATTGTGTTCCTGGTCAGAGCAGTAATCGTGGGCACGCTGTCTCAGGAACAAAAAGGAAGACAACGAGATTCTCCAAATGCAGCAAGCGAGTTTCTATGAACAGCTACAAACCATCCTCCGCTCTTTGGTTACAGCCTAGGTCCCCCCAATGGGGAGAGCGGGACTTTTATAATGAAAGCTTATTGACCATCAATAAAGCACAAGGCATAATTAGACCATGATCCTTTTCTATGGAACAACCAAAGGGACCGACTGACCTCATCAATCATCACTCACTGAGCTATTACTTGGCCGGGCAGATACGACGCCCACACACACACCTCTTTCCAGCTGAAGAAAGCTGGATCCAGCAGATGGAGTTCGACCGTAGTGATTAAAACTAACACAATTCTCCGTGGCAAAAAATTGATAAAGTAACTTGTGAACAATAATCTCAGCGAGTAAATCACAAATTTTGGCCAACGGTGTTGCATGAAAATAAGGACTCAGACATTCTCTTTAAGATTACGCGAAAGATCTCGTAAGTCTCAACGTGAGCGCTTCAATGAAACCATGAGGATAGCACAGGAGATATGATTCTTCCATGACAAGGAACTGGCAAGACATCGTAAGGCACAACCATTCTTATCTCTATCTTGTGTGGGCTAAGATCCTCTTTGCAAATAGAGCTTCTTCACTAAATCTAAGGGATTAGCCTCATGAAATACAATGCCGAACACCTAGTATCTTTAAGGGGAGGGATGTGAGAGAGAATTTTACACAATCAACATATAGTAATGTCTCAAGAAAATAAAGTTTCTGCATTGAATAATAGCATGAATAATTCTGGTACCCTCGTGCAGCTTTGCATTGAGAAACTGAAGCTTCGTTGGAAGCTGGAAGGAGACCACCAAACAGTTGTCTATGAATGACCAATGTAAGACAACAACTACAAATGCTCACCACCAATCGGGTGTATAAGGTGTAAAGAGCTGCACCCCTATAAAATGTTTCAGCAACAGAATGTGGACATTCTCCAATTGACCTGCGAAGAAACAAACCCAAGCTGTGTATCTGACAAGAGAATCCTACAATCATAAACTTTGCCTCCCTCAGGGAATCACTGGTTCACTGCTTCAGGAATGGCTGGGTTCCTCAATTTTAACTCAGTGAAAATGCTTTATCTTCGTGTCTTATTCTTTGATTAAAAATTTAAACCATAAAACGTCTTTTTAGTGCACGAAAATGCGGGCCATTTGGTTAAAATTCTGTCTTCAGGATGTTTGTCATAAATAGCCATCAAATCCACCTCATTGAAGTTTACCCAGAATAGCCTAAGGATGGGGCGGGCTCTGAATCATGTGCAGACTCCAGAATTTTGGCACAGCAACTTGCACGTGTAAAAGTGGCGAAAAGAAGTCAATGAAATGCAAGTTACCGTATTCCTTGACTCGGTCTCTTCTTTGTTAATAACAATGCCATTTGGCAAGAAATGAAGGAGCAATCTACTTCTAATCATTGTATGCAGACATGAGTGATTTAGGCAGCAACTCATCCATACCTTTCCTGTCAAATTTTCAAACTCAAGTAATTGCTCCACAATAATTTGAAGTACAGCACGATTCTTCACAAGCATTTCCTTCGCCTTGTCATATGCCAAATTGTACATCTAAACAAAAAGAACATGACGATCGACATTTGAGGATTACCATATTAAGTCACAAGAAAAAAAATGTAAAGAGCCACGGATGGTTCATTACCTTTTCAACCTTGGCCGCCATCTCAAACTCATGGATATTACCCATACTCATGGCTGTACTCTGTGCGAAAACATTAGACGGTAAAACATACTAACTTCCACTATATTATGTATCCAAAGAAAACTTAAATGGCAGTAATCAAACAATTTCAGACGATTTAGCATTCATTTCATTCATAAAATTCACCATGGGAACATAAAAGCAAAAAACAGGTTGATTTATATTGAATCTACCACGCTTGTTCCAAACTCAAGGGAGAAACCTGGATCCCGTTTCATACTGAGGAAAATAGAAAAAAAGAGCAGACTGATAATCAGCTGATCTCACTTGAATCGACAATTTCCTAGTCAAATTGGAAATTCTACCAGCCATTGGAGGAAGAACGGGGAAGAGTGGCAGTCCTTAATAAGAAAGTTCACTTGAAAATATTTCTTGTGATTGCAGCATGTCTAGAAAGCAGTACTTATACTGTTAAAAGAACAATAGAATACAACGTTTTATGTTATTTTCACCCAATCAAGTTCGTCACATGGACAAGAAAATTATGTGGGTTAAGTTATGATCTCTTCATAAATTTTGGTGTCATGATATAGTGAAATAACTTGTGTTGTGCATGTATACGGTGCATAAAAACCACAATTTAGACAACTTTGTCTCCCATAGGCAGGGATATCAGTACTCACGGAGATTTCTACAAAGTTCCAAATAAAAAATGGTACATTCCAGACGTTTGGCAAGAAATATGATCGTTGGATATTTTGTTCAATTTCACAGTCTAAATGAACTATTTTCCTACAAAGAGCCTTCCATGTACAGATATAACTTGATAAAGGCATTTTCCATTGAAAAAATTGACAAAAGAATCAGGAAAGTGAATAAATTATTTCAACTCTTGTGTATTTTAAGGAAAGAAGTACAGAAGGTGGAAAATCCTTCTTGACATTTTGAGGAAAATACTTCTACATTTCTACACGTATTTATTTTCACTTCATGATTTTCTATGAGCCAATGCAAACTGCAGGAGCAAAAACTGAAATAAAAAAATTATCGTGCAACACTCAATAAAGGTAATTACCGCATTGTTGCAGAAGTAAATAGTAGGGCTATCATCGGGGCCCCATCCATATTGAATAACCATGCGTGTAGCTATCTGAAATGGCAATCAATATGTAAAGTAAATCATGCTAGAGACATACAAATTATGTGATCTTGAGTTTTTTTAAGGAAACGAGTTTACCTCCTGTGCCTGCTTAAGTTCTGATGAGGACAAAAAGTTTTCCTCACCAAAAGAAAGCAGCAACTGAGATGCAATATATGAACCGAAACAAAATACCAACTTCTTCTCAAGGTAAGATCTTGTCTCTACATTTCCATTAATTGACCCTTCATTCCTGGCCTTCGTTATCTTTGTACATCCAATACCCTATAATCACGTAAAGAACTCACTTAGCAAGCAAGAACGTACGAGAGTTTAAAAACCCAAATACAGAAGCACAAAGAACTAGGAAAGGAGAGGACTATCATATGACAAAATTACTAAATGTTTACCTCGACCTCGGATTTTTGAGAAACAGTGAATCCGTCTAAAGCAAAACAATGAAATAAGACTATATATTTTTATCATATTATTTATTTTTTCCTTTCCAGTGTGAGACTACTCGAATACCCTAATGTGTACGTGCAAACACTTTTAGAATCCACTAAATGAAAAAATGGAAATGGTGTTCAAACAGACTAACCAATCGGATAGTCTGATATAATCTTAATCAATGAGTGGAATGAGTCCAGAACCTTAAACCAAGAGTTTTTTTTTCTTCCAACCATCTTAGGGCCATTGAAACAAGAAAATAGTGATAGACCATGTCTGAAAATTTAGAGAAAGTTTGAGACGTTTACTTCATGAAATTCGCCACATAGGCATCAAGTGTGAGGTTATTCATCCTACCTCTCTAGGTTAGATTTCCTTCATCTTAAAAAATGTATTTAGATTTTTTTGTGGTTAGATGGGGAAAAATACGCAAACTTTCGGGCAAGTTTCTGAAGTTGAACATTGTCCATTCCTGGTGTGGTCTTGGCAAGTATGCACCATGATCAGTTGGTAGCAATTATGTGACCCAACAAGCACATTTCAAACAAACCTAAAAGAAACCTTGATTTTATAGAATCGGATAACTTGGGCATAAAAATAAAAAGATAAAGGAAAATAATGTTTCTCTCCATATAAACTAAAAGATTAATTGAACTGGAAAAAATTCATTTCAAGACCAGACAGACTTGATGCACTGCCAATGACCAAAAAATACGAGTGCATCTTCCAAGTGCTTCTCATCTTCCAAAGCTAATCAAAGAGCTACAAGCGCCTGTCGCAACAATAACCTTGTGATATATGAATTATTCGATTAGTGAAATGTAAACAAATATCAAGACGTAGTAAAAGTGAGGAACTTATCTGTATTAAAGAAAAGAACACATGATGCAACAAAGGTACAAAACCCTTATAGAAAAAGGAAAGGAGCTTGAAATAGAACCTCCCATGATGCTGGCTCCAGCCATATATTATCAACCACGTCAAAGTTAGGAAGAAGAAGGGCAATTAGACCACGCCCTGCTGCCCAGACTGCATGCGGAAATTTTGCTTCTCTAGTCCACTGTGAAGAAAATTAATTCGTCACTGACAGGCCTTTTTATTATACAGAGAAATAACTAAGCATATATTGTTGCATTGAAGAGCTCCAGATAAAGTAAACATCGCCAAAAGGTTGACGAATTAATTAAAACAAGAACTATCTATACGCCTCCTAAATGTAAGCATGATGTATCACACAGAAACACAACAGAATGAAGCAAATAACGCAAAGCTCTTTGACAACAAACTTCAGCATACAAAATTTAACCATAAGCATATCAAACTTCAGCATACAAATAGCCCATGGCACTTTGAAAACAAGTAACCTAGTCAGATTTGAGGCCTCAATTCCAATTGTTATAAAGCAGGATAACTCAATTCAATAACAGAAGCAAGATTAAAGATCTCTCATCGGTGAATTCCAAGGGGTTGGACATTTGTGATTCAAACAAGAAAGAGAATTCCTAGGAACAGTGGAGAAGTTAGGTTACACATCTTCAAATTAAAGACAACATTTAAAACTTTGAATCAAACTCAATAGAGAACATGGAAAGACAAAAACAAAGAGATTCAAATTATGATGCCAAAACTTTGGCCGCCACATCTTTTCAAAGACTTCTAGTAATTCCAAGAATGCAACAAAAACAGCATTTCATTCTAAAATTTAAGACGTTAGCTTATCAAACAATTTTGAAAGATTTTCCACTTCAGTATTGAAGTGAAACTCGAGAATGTGCGAAAAGCTCGGACAGACGTAATGACTCGGTCATGAATCATAAAGAAATACACAAATTAGGTACATCATAGACTTGGTCGACAAATGCAATAATACCAAACACGAAAGAAAAAATAATGAACGTCATATGGATAAATCCTTTTTTAAAAATATTCCTACAAAGTCGCACGGAAAGCACATCTGTGGAATATCAGACAATAATGTTTGTCACAAATTTTCTTACATCCTGAGGAGGACTCAAAAGTTCAATGCCATTGCTTATTTGCCCATAAGGTTCCATTAGATCTACAACCGACTGCATGTCTTCTTTCGTCAATCCCAAGCCAAGATGATTCACCAAGCATCTGCTAAACTCTTTGATAGGTGGCACATCCCTCAGCCACCTTGGAACATTACTGCTCAGGCTCTATACGAAAAAACAAGGTGTTAAATATCAAACAATTTTAGAATACCAAATACCAAAAAATAATTGAATAATATATGTGCAAGAGAAAACCAAAACCAAAATTGGATTTGCATGCTTATCTTAATGTCAGATGGCACAGGGGCCAACAAACAGAAATCGTTTTCTTTGTTCTTGGGGATGCTATGGCTGGGAATAGGAAATCAGAATGGATTTGGTGCTGATGGAGGTGTCTTATTGTCATGCAGAGGTGACTACAATGCCCCTCCCAGTAGCCCAAACCCAGATGATGCATGTTTTTGCCTAACTTAAACAAGCAAAGAAGACTTCCAAGGAAAAGTAATGGCTGCAGTATAATCTGTCAACACATCCCTAAATATCGTCGTCTGATCCATCCTACTATCAGCACAGGGTCAAATAAAGTTGGCATGCCACCCGCAAATGAAATAAATTTTAACAGCAAAATCTGTAGGACATCTAGAACTACGTATTATGTCTATATAACCTCGTAACCTTCAAGTCTTGACATTATATCCGTAATCAGCATGTCTGTCCACATGCAAAGGACGTCCAATAAATCTCTTTAAATGCCCCTCTCATGACTAAGTTCCTTTGATTTAGCCATCGCACTGTAAACTTGCAAACAATATTTAAATGACTGTTTCGTTCTTGTAGAGCATAAATATTTTGCCTTTTTTGTAAAAAAAATTACGAATAAATTTCAATTTTTGGCACAATATGAGAACGCCATCCCTTTTCTCTTTCCTAGTTGTTGTCTGTTAAAATGGAGAACAAAGGCTAATGACTCACGCAAGTATTTGAGGGAAAAACAGAGACGCACAGACGAACAAAATCAGCACAAAAAAAGGGATACCCTCCTCAACTTCCCAAACATCTCCACATCCAGGTTCAATTTTTTTACTCTCAAAGATATGGGTAATTATGAGAGTTCAATAGGTATAATAATAAATCTAGGTTATTTTAAGGATATATAGTAAAAATTCACTGGAACTGAAAACCAAGCTACCTTGTTATTAGATTTCATGTCATAACATCACATTAAAATGAAAAAAGGGCAACCTGAAAGCCTACCCAGCAGAACTATGAAAGTTTTCAATGAACCAGCCTTAACCTGAAAGTAACACGTGCCCTTGCGTTCCTGAATAAGTCTACGAAGCTTCCTATATTATAAAATAGACAAATGAAATATATGCTTTTGCAACAATAATATCTGGACGAGTGATCTTCTTTCCGCTGGAATTAAACTCAAAGTCACAGTGGGAATCGTACCGCAAACCAACCACAATAGCTCATTAGTTCATCTGTATCAAGGAATTTGTTCCGGAAGGCACTGCCTTCCAAGGCTAATGGAACAAGCTGCAATTCTACAGGCCTTAATAAAGCAGTCTTCTCAGCTACCTGGGAGCAAAAGAAACGTCATGGCTTGATAAGAAAAGACAAAATCCTAGAAAAATAAATCAGACAGAGAACACAAAGGAAACGCTTCTACTCACTTATATCACGGTCATAGAGAGTTATTAACTTGGGATAGGTTCTGATACAAAAGCTAAGATAGATGGGAGAAGGTATAATTGAACTGATCTAAGGAATATTACAATTGGATTCAACTTTAGGTTATTATTTCTCCAAACAATTAAAATCCATTTCAAGAATGTTTAGTTGCTTAAAAAGCACGTCTTATTTTTGAAGGGTAGAGTCTCAACATATCCAGATATCACAAGCCGTTCCGTTTGAATCTTCTAATCTAACATGCAGGGGCATCCAAATCATTTGACTCAGAAAATACTAAAAGTGATTTTCTGTCAGCCAAATGTGAATGCAAAACCATGGTGTTCAAAGGGATAACTGCAAACAAATAGCTTAATGGAGGAGTTTTTTAAAAAAACTAATACTTTTTATTTTGTAACAATAATAGATGTGGTTCATAAAGTAAAAAATGAGCTTGAGGAAGTTTATGAAGTTTGGATTACACTAGAACATATTTGACAACCTATAAACCAATACCTAAGAAATTGAATATACAGACGATAGTTTCACATAATAAAGGTTATTTCAAGTGTAAACATTATTAGGTCTTTCAAAGGCACGTAACAAAAGCGGTCTTGAGTATTTCTTCTAAGGATTGTCGGTCAGAAAATGTTACAAAATATAAACAAATTGGGCCAACGTATATTTTTGAGATGTGAAATTTTTGCATCTTCATAATCATTCCATCAATTTAATTACCTTCCTCCAATCTACAAAACCAACAAGTTCCTCATCCATTGTTTCCCTGGCTGATAGTTGCAATATCTTCTCCCTTTCCATCTGAGTCGGACGCTGAAGATGCAATACTCTATCCATGCGGCCAGGTCTTTGCAATGCCTGATCAATTTGCTTTAGATTTCTGGTGGTAGCCAATAAAACAACACCATCCTGCTTCTCGAACCTGAAGAAAGAGATTCCACCATGACTATAACATTCCGTCTACCACTGGAGTTTCTCTCACTATCGTTAGGTAGAAATCAGGTATCTGAGACGAAATAACCGATGCAATCCAAGAAAAAAAACAAAGGTGCTATAATACTATGCTTATATATTATGTAATTCGAACAATAACCCCAAAGTTTTCATTTGTAACTTTTCATATACTCCAAAGATGACAAAACCTAACATAAAACTTTGTTACAGATTGGTACCGGAGTGACTGACCCATCTGGGTACAGAAGTTCACCTACCTTCCACGCATTTATTTAAACTGGGCAAGTTGACGCATGTGATTCTCTGGATTAGCCGGCCCTAATAGTCAGCCTGGGGGTGGGTCCGTCCTTCCTCAATCAAAGAAGAACCCCTCCTTATGTTAAGTAAAGAATGAATGCCTTGCCTCAGAGAGACATGGCCTCAACCTGGCGATGGGGCTTGGTTCGTGAGGAGTTGAGCCTGAACTGGCAAACCTAAGTCACTTTCGTAACCATTATTTCCACAGCCAACATGTGTCCAGGAGAAAGTTTCCTTTCACTACTCTTCAAAGTGGCTATAAGTTATCCACCTGATTGACCCCAGAACTCAAGGTCTACTTCCAATAAAGTACAGTTTTTGACCATACATGTTGTCTTCGTCCAACTTCAAGCTCTAAAACGCCACAGGTCTGTCTTCCACCGCTCCTATTGTCCCTCTATATGACCCAAACTGTGTTGTCTACTCGATACCTTCTGAAATGTATAGACCTCACGCAATGAAAAGTTTAGTTCTAGAATCTGTCAACTCATCCTCAAGACGATATGTCGAAGACACGATCATTCACATAAATTTCAGCAGACAGGAAGCTACTGTTTAACGAATGCCATGCAAACAAGGTAGCTTGCTGACTCTCCTAGTAACGTGCATTGGCAGCAAGGAAGGAGTACGGAAAGACTAGACCATAAAGTACAAGAGTGGGAAGTGCTAGTCGCTTCTGATGAAATTCTTTGATTCATCTTGACTTTAGGATAGGAGATCAAAGCACAGATCGTTCCGAAGTGAGCCACTTGCAACTTAATTAAAGTCGAATTCTCATTCGCCACCCGGCCAATTGAGAAAACAGAAAATCTCCCCAAGTAGGATTCGAACCTAGCTTATATTTTAACAGCCAACCGGTCAGCATTCAATGTGGTCAATTACCCTAGCTTATGTTTTGTTCATAGTCTGCGACGGGGACTTCTAAAATGAGTTGACTCATAAGTTTGTCTGACAGAGCATACGCAGTATAAGAAAATTTTCAGTCTCAATACTAGCTGTTATTTGGATGTTGAAGAAGGCTCAACTCAATCTCCAGCAGGTAGTATGATCTGTTGAATCATTTATATACGTTTCCAAAATTTTAGATGGAACCAATGGAGCTTATTTCAAGTTCCGAACTCAAATTTGAGAACTTAAGCGCTTAAAAACTCTCTTTTCATTATGTAACGATAAACAAGTGTTGTAAGTTCAACAAGTGTATTCTTTTGACTGAATTGTTTCACTAATTGATTTAAAAGAGTTGATGGTACCCCACAGCTGAAAATCCAAGAGTGTGTACGTTGGCAAATATAAAACTAACACAATACCTTCTTGCCAAACGTGTAATGATCATTATCAGAAGTCTCAAAATAGTAGAGTGGGCAGAGCTAAATCACCTTAAATCCCTGAGTTGCGTACGTTCATTTTCACTCAATTATCTGAGACGTCACTATTGAAAAATAAACTTAAAGTGCTAAATATGGCTCCCTTCTCCTTCTTGGTTACCTACAGTCACCTTGGACCAAGAATTTTTTTTTCCAATGAAATGGGGTTTACATAATATTAACTTTGACCTCTCCAAATGTGATAAATTAAAGTTTTCTGTAGCGAACTAAGTGCACTAAACTATCACAATTTTTTGGCAATTACATCTATCACATAGTTAGAAACTCCGTGCTTTTTTGGATCAGGGAATTCTCCCCAAGAAGCATTGGTAAGCTTCAAGGCAGTGTGCGAGTGCATAATCAGCTGCTTCTTAGATCCATTGCAGAACAATTTTCAAGAAACTTACCATCCATGAAACCTTTAATATCCTGAAGAATGTCAAAAAGAGACATTGGCCACAATGGTCAAATTTAGATTTGGTTCTCTACGAGCTTTTGGGTTCAACAGAATCTTACATCATAAAGAAGCAGATGAATAGATTGTGTTCTGGAAAGAACAAGAATCAAAACCTCAACGATACATATATTATACACTCACATCTAAAAACATGAGTATCAGTTAGATGATGCTATGATCAATTCATCTCTCAAAAGGTGTAACGTTATCATCAGTTTGAAATGACAGATATCAAGCCTTTACGCTAAATGTCTTCATGTCGCTTATTCTACTCGAATTTACCTATCTTCACAGAGAAATTATATCTACCACATCAATATATAGCTTCACCAAGGGCTCTCAAACAATTGACAATCCTAGGGAACTTCCCTTGAAGATTCATCCCTCCAGTGGTGTATCGTTGGGGGGACTAACACATTACCATCAACTTGTTCGCACTTTTTGTGTACTTGAAGGTATCTCGTCTAAACATTGATCATATTGTGCATATCTTGAGTCAATTTGTTAGTGCTACTACCTCAATCCATTATATTGTCCCCACCTCAGTTCTTCGTTACCTACGGGAGACCCATTCCCACTCCTTGTTTATGTCATTCACTAAACCTTTGGACCTTGATGTCTGTACTGATGTTCATTGGGATAATGATCATGCTCTCTCAAAAAAGAAGCATCTGCATCTTTCTAGACTCCTCTCTCATCCCCAAAAAGGAACAAGAGGTAGGTCGTCATCTCTCAGTCCCACACAAAGGCCTTGCACTACCCTATGATTGATACATTCGGCGATAGCTTCTTTGAGATTTAAGCATAGCTTCCTCAGTTCTTACTCCATTTTATTGTGACAATGGCGCCACTTTGGGGATGTATTAAAAGAGGAATTGAAAAAAATAATGTTGGAACAACTCAGGGGTAGGGATATGGTCATAAAGTACAACAAAACTAAAACCAGAAGAGAAGGGGAAAAGGATGATAGCCTAAACTTGGAAAAAAGGAAATACGGAAGCCGGATGTTGATATAGACCAAGACACTGACTCCAGCCAAAACCTTCAACATTCAAACTTGTGAGGATACATGCAAGTTTCTGAAAGTGTATGTGAATGAAATAGTTTCAGTGGGGATTTTTATCCACTTTAAACTATGCGATAATCTCTCTTGAAAACATTGAGGGCACCTTGGAGGGCTCAGAAAGAAAAATTCGAATCTTCAACTCAACAAAAGAGTAAGCTCAAGGACCCAAGGAAAATAGACTACATGGAATGGCCACTTAGAGAGGAATTCAGTACACTCTACAAGTCGTCAGTAATATTGTCATCCATGAGAGGACCAAATATATAGAAATTTATAATCAATTCATTCTCAACAGTACCTCCCCAAGACCGTCTCTTCATCAAATTTCTTTTGTTGAGCAGCTTGCTGATTGATTCCCAAAGTCAGTTACCTATTCTATATTTATCCTGTCTTTCTTTGGGATCTTGGCTCTTGTACTTAAATATAAAATAATAATAATAATAATAATAATAATAATAATAGTAATAATAATAATAATAATAATAATAATAATAATAATATCTTAAGGTTCAAAATTCGTAGCACACAATCAGCATTACACTGTAAGACATGATTTGGGCTGGCCTAATGGGTGTATATTCTAAATAGCTCACTAGCACACAATGATAGTGGGCCTATTAAACTTTTATTCTAATTGACTCTCTAAGAGGATATATACAGATTGCAATATCACCTGAGAGATACGCTCTCCATTTCTTTTTGTTCTCTCTAGTCGTGCTAGATTTAATTCATACGAATCTATTCTCTTAGGTCGCATGATCAATAGACTATAACCAAAATTCTCGATTACATATGTAAAAACAACAAACTGATATAACTAAATAGAGAATCTACGAAATAGCTCATAGCAGCAACAATCGTAAGGAAAGAACAAGAAACATACCCATCAAGTTCAACAAGAAGTTGATTTATAAAAGCTTCATGGTCTTGCTTCTTAGTATGAATAAACTGTCCACGAACGCCCGCGAAGAGGTCAAAGTCCTCGACAAAGATGATAACTGGTGCCTACGAAACAAAGTATCATTATTTTCATCAAAAGCCCTGACGAAAGATAAATACAATCTAGGTCCTTTTACAAGGACTCCAAGTTAAATTCGCCATTGAATGATGCAAGTAAAATTTCAATGGCATTCCCAAAGTCAAAAAAATACTGTACGAAATCAATAGTTCTAATATATCTGATTTTTTAGCAGAGCACAACATTACAGAAATTTATTCCAAAACATGACATGAAGATAGAGTTCTTAATTTGAAAGTCATTTCATTATGTATAGGATGCCGAATATTTCATCAAACCAAGAATAGGTATGCAATATCCCTTCCAATTAAAGGTTTGGATTGGCATTTTTTCTACATGACCTAAAAGCTCCTCTTTGTCTAATTTTCTGCTGCGTCTTCAGTTTGTGTCAGATATGACTTCTTAATTAATAATGGACGAACAGATGTAAGACTCAAAATAGTGAGAGAGAGGGTAATATCAAAACTTTCACGAACTGCAACAGCATTGCAGTTATAGTAGTACTACAGATTATTATGTTGACCACAGGGAGTAAAGGAAAACCTGTACAGATAGTATTCTATAGTATGAAAGATATTCTCTAAACTACAAAGACAAGAAGGATGGAGCACAACAGGCTACAATATAGATTTTTTAAGATTTGGATGAAAATGGAAATGGCCAAAAGCACCAGCATTTTAATAGATGTTCATAATTTAATGAAAACAGCAGGAGGAAACTTTAAATTTTAAAAGGGCAAGGATAATACAATGAATACAACGAATAGAGAGATATCTTCTCCAACAGAAGAAAATGATGGCTGGGAAAAAAAACAGCAGGTCCAACACTTACTGGTGCCTCTCTCCACAGTCAGCCCCAAGGCCTTTATGCATGATCATAACAATAGGTGTCTTTCCGCAAATAAAGTATAGAGATGAGACTATATACAGTCTATGAGAACAAATAGAGCAATTATTCGGGTAATATTGCGAGACAGACGTAAAATTTCGAAAAACATAATGGTATTCAGCATGATGGTGCTTTTCAAGAAAAGAAAAAAAAAAGGACTAAAGAAAGGCCAGAGATTAATATTAGGGAAATCCCAAAAACAAATGATTAATAAATTGGCTCATCTCTTTTTAGGTCATATGTTCATTATTTTTTGGGCCACCTGTCTATCTGGTAAGAATAATGGAAATGGTCAACAAGGTTGAGAGGACAAACCAAATCCCTTGCAGTTTGAAATAGCTCCCTGACATTTGATGCACTTTGCCCAACCCAAAGCCCAGCTTCCAGCTGGCGAGCTTTAACTTCAACAACAGGAACCTTGGCCTCTGCAGCAATGGCCAATGCAAGGGATGTTTTCCCCGTTCCTCTCTCACCAACAATAAGAACACCCTGCACCATAAACGAGACACAATCTGAGTAATATATGATGTTGAATACACATCTCAGAGAAATATTAAGAGAAAAGGAGATCACTGTATATATCATCCAGTATCCTAGATATACCTCATCTTCAAAAGAATAATCAATAGAAGATGTATGCCCGTATTCGACACTTGGTTGACCAGAATTTCCAATCATTTGACTATTCTTAAATTCCTTTCGATCGTATTCCAACTTTCCTCAAAAAAAGTGCACTCATTTTGCAGCCTTGCAAAGTGCTCTAACTTCCATTTCCTTACCTCCCAAAAGTCTTCTATCTCCACCCCCATCCATCAATGTAATATCGTTTCGGAATTTCAGCTTCCTCACAAATGAATCCACTAGAATGTCCCTATCTGATCCACGACGTCCCTTTCATCTGTACCCAAAAAACATGCTCTCGTACTACTCAAAATCCTGCTAGTTTCATCAAGTGAAGAGAGCACTCTCGTGGAAAAACTATCTACTTTTTTTTACTGCAAAAACATAGCATATTCCGCGAGCCAAGTTCACAAGAACTCCAAGGATGGCAATACCAAATCACTCTCTGTACCATAAAATATGACTGTTTCTTCAAAAATACAATTCATCAATTGATGGGACATGGCATCTTGAATTTCAAGTCTGAGGAAAAACAAAGTTTTCAAACTATAAAAATCTACAAAGTAACTACAAGAGATTATCGAACATTCAATCAAAGTTCTCACAATTCTATTCTCAGCAGGAACATATCATTTATTTACTTAGCAGTCATACGCCATAATTCTGTTCATCTGTTAAAACCGCCAACTTGGGCGGATGAAACAAGACAGGTTAGTTATGGACACTCTTCAAATGTCCACTGTTTAGAATGACCCATCAAAAGCTCTAGTTTCATGATTGTACAAACTAATAACTACAGAAAATCATCTTCATGCTAGTTAATGAAGCAGGAAGAAAATTTACAAGAACATCATTACCCGTGGAGCACGAGCACCCATTTCTTGAAAAGCAGCAGGATTCCGTAAAAATGCAACTATTTCATTTATTTCCTCTCTCATAGAATCAACGCTTGAAAAATCATCCAGCCTTATTGGTGGATTTTTAACCCTCTGCAAATTCAAACAATTAATAAGTGAAACAAAAAAAGGTAGAACACCCTTAAACATGCACTCAATGGAAGAATCAAAATACAGATGTCTAAAGAGCACCTTCATTTGTTCAAAAGCAGACTTTATAGGGTCAACACCTTCTTTTCTCCTGCGAATTCTTCGATTCAACCTAAATTGATGATAAAATCTCTGCATACAGTAAAACAGCACCAATACCCATTATATCAATCCAAATAAGAAGAAAAATTAGCTTAACAAGAATAAACCAGCATAACTACCCCTCATCATTAAGTGAAGAAACAATAATGAATAAACAATGCAATCATTTTCACAGCAAACCTACTAATCACAAGTAATATGGGTGCACAATTTTGAGCATAAAACTTGCTCGTATCGCTAATTTTATCACGAAGGTACCGACAATCTAGCCCCATGTCCCAAAACAAGCATCGTCAATTGCATTTTATCATAAAACATTCTACATTATCGACCTATAAAATTCTTTTTTCTCCTGCCCTACGTCATCCAAAAAGAAACCACAGGGTGAGAATCTATTTACAAATGTATTCGATTCCACAACAAGAACTATAGAGCACACAGATCTAATAATAAATGGAATAATATCATAGGTAGAAACAGTTTGAAACTTTTTTAACTCACTTTTTTAGAAGGGAAACGAAAAAAGAAAGAGAAGCGTGACCAGAAAAAATGGTTAGAATTGTGCCTATTCGAGGAAACTATTAAATCTATTTGAAGCCATAATCTTAAGAGGCATTCTCAGTATTGGATTACCAATTGACAAAGAATGCATAACACTTATAGCAAGTTAAGCAGCAACTTGCACCAGAACAAGACGATATGATTAACGATTACATGCATAAACTAGAAACCAGAAACACATAAATGTGATAGAACAAATGGAACTTACCACTCTCCTCAACTTACGTAAGTTAGGATCCTTCCGGAAAGGCCCATATCCCAGTGCTCTAGGTATCTTCCTCATAAATCGGAGAACATGAAACACAACAAAACCAAATAGAAGGCTCCTGAAAAGAAATCCAATAAACCACCAAAGGCTGTTGGTTTTATGTGACTTGAAATTGATTTCAGCCTCAGACTGCCATTTTAGGTACCAAGTTGAGCCCACAAATTGATCTACTTCTTCAGGCCACGCCATGCCTAAGCTCATCCTTACCTAGGAGATGAAATGAATGTCCAATTAATATGTTGTATGCCAGCTAAGCCAATAAAATATGTTACAAGATAAATGATTAGCGTATGGACAAGCCTCACCGGCTTTGGAATAATGAACTCCACAATGGGAAAGCCAATCATAATCATTATGTCATCAGTAGTATTTTTTATCTTTTTATAAACCCATTCCTTTCCATATGATACAATTGACGATTTCCATAGTCCAAGTAAGCACTGATATAGCAGCTTAGAAGATAAGACAAACTGCTGGCGTATGTCCAGTTCTGTGAATGGAATCCACATTAACTGCACAGTAGTTGGAATACCAGATGATAACATTTTGATGTAGAGCCCATCAAAACCCCCAAAATCGTCAAAGAGTAGTTCAAATTCCTGAAAGAATCATAAACATGAAAAGGGATGATGACCACAAGTTAAAAAAATGAATTTCAACTAAAAAAAACAGGCATTGGGGAATATGAGGAAGCAAAAATCAAAAATAAGTCACAGAGTTGCCAACCTTTATATCAACATAATATTCCTTGTCATCACCCTTAAGGGCAACATACATGGCACCCCAGTCATGTCGAATCCGCGCATACTCTAGTAGTTTCTTGGACACAGCATAGGGTACGGTGACAGGATCCATTTCCCACCTATTCTTTTCCTGATTATACCATGATCTCCCCACCACCCTGTCGCGATCCAGAAGGAGGCGTTCCTGCACAGTATAAAAAAGGCAATCATGGAAAATTGTTTCAACTAGTTCTTCAAACTCTCAGGCAAATTTGGGCCAACTTGAAAAGAAATCCTGAAGTTGGAGTAAAAAGTCGAGTTCTTTGAATGGACATTTTTGCAGAATGTTCAAGTACAGCCACAAACCCCATAGATATCATGCTGTGCTTATGAATTATCAACCATGATACTTCAAAGAGAATTTTTCATTTACTTCATCAGAGTATTGAGCCACCCAAGTGAAAATCCATTTGGAATGAGTAGACTAGGTCCATCTACTTTTAACTGCAAAATTATACCCATCTTCCAGAATAGAACTATTCAAACACCTATACTCCACTCACTATGAATTGAGATATAAAGCTGAACCCAATCAGATAACGATGACGAGAACCGTTGTGGATTTCCTTTTTTCTCTGATGTAGTTTCTCATGTACTTGACCTCAGACCTAGCTTGGGAAACAGGGTTGGTGTGACAAATTTCAATCCACCAACCACTTCCCACTGTAGGGTTTCTGTACTTCGGGAGTTTTTTCTTCAAAAACCAGCACAATTCCGAAGTTAGCATAAGACCGACTCATATATTTTCTGAGCACATTATTCATTTAAATTTGACATATAAGCAATGTTTGAGGGAGCAACCTTTCGTGGCAGTTATGGCTGACTACACACTGGAGAACATGTCCATTCCATGTTGTCTATAGTCATCGATGAGATGCCTCTTAATGACGTGATCATAAGAAGAGTGATGAGGACTGCCACTTCCATGCGTTTTCAATAAGATATTTATCTCTCTGAAACAAGTTGGTAACCATTTTTTTTCATCTGCAGTCACTAGTTGCACCTATATTTTAAAATATAACTTTAGATATTTGTTTTCATGAATATATTGCTACAGCTCTCTACAAGTTCTTCAGAGAAACACTTGATCCTTTTGTCTTCTCACCAACTAATATAAACAACCCCCCACATCTATAAACCTTTTTGGCATCAATAATAGATGCCAAGTTAGTTCTCTTCAGAGGGAAAGGTCAGAGCCTGCTTCCTCTATTTGAGATGAAAAAACAACAGAAAAACATGCAATTACTAAGTTGCAGACGAACATACTCGTCCAAAAATCTTCTAAAAAAATAAGAAATTCAGATAGAGAGTAAACATCACGACAACATTCTATCATTGATTTAATGGATAGATTTTAGTTGCCACCGAAAAAAAAAAAAGGTTGTTCTACGTACTCCCTCTAAGACCCATGTAGAAATTGTAATCACAACATCATCTACTTATTGGCATCCAAGGCTGAACTAGTTACAATTTTAGCACGAGATGTGGCCTTACATTGGAGGGAGGGGTACATAGCTTAAAAACAACCGAGTTCTCCACATAACCAGTATTCTCTGGGTCGAAACATGCAAAAGCAATGATAATGTAAATAGTGTGAAATGTTAAAAATAATGCGATCTTTAAAAAATTACCCAACCTTCATCAATCTCCATTAGGTTCATGTATTGAAGATGAAAGTCATAGCATAGCATGCCAGGAACCCATCACACAGGATTCACTTCACTACATAACCTAGAGCAAACTTCTCATTGAGTTCGGAAACAGAAAAAAATTTCTTACAGAATTCAAAAACCAGAGGACGTGACCCAAACATCAATGTCCATACTATAAACTTGCAGAGAAAGAATCACTATCTAGCAATAGTATGAAAACAAAAAACTTTCAGAAAATGTTAATTATCAAAACATACAACTAAGCTGACTAACTTATGAAACAACAAACGGAAGAGTAGATCTGGGATACATGATTTTGTGTGATTTAATGATTGTGCAATTCGTCACTTGAGATCCACCCACCATAATAAATTAACAGTGATTTGCCATGCACTAAGACGTTTTTCAAGAGCAAGCATGTGTCACAACGAACTGAATCAGCACACTGCATTGCAAAAGAGAAGCCCGATTCATAAGTGAAGATAACTATGCAGAGCTGATCTGCAATACATTGCCATGCAATGCAATATGACAATTTAAGAGAAATTATCCATCATAGTCCATTCAATAGGCAGACTACATCACAAATGCATCGTCAGAGTGAATCACACCATTCTAAAGATAAACAATATGCAGACAAACATCAGGGGAGAAAAGTTTCATCAAGTTAATTCTGATGAAAAAACTACCTGCCTCAGTTTAATGTATTCCTTTCGGTAGTCCTCATTTTCCACCAATTCTCTTTTGAGGTTCGCCTTGGTTTCTTCACGCCACTTTTTCCATCCATGAAACAAGTGTAGGCGAATTGCCTTTGGGACTGTAACTTCTTTTTGTCCAAACATCCACTTTAACTCAACTTCTGGAAAACCTTTCACAACCTCATCATCAGGTGTATAAACAAGAAAGCGCTTTTCATCTCCAAATGTCTTCATCTTATTTCTTATGCGATCTTCCAGATTCCTTTGAAGCTCTTTTGACTTTTTGAAGGCCTTCCTCACATTTAGAACGAACTTCCGAGTGCTTTGATCCATGAAAGACTCTGCATCCTCGAGCTCCATGACTGATGGCAGAACTATTTGCTCCAGATAGCTCCTACGAACTGTTTCTAGATCTTTTTTTATCTCAAGTGATGAGAGCTTGCTTGGACTCTTTGCCTGACTGTGACCGAATATAAATCAGTGTAAGCGGTTAAAAATGAGAGCTTGCTAGAACTACATTCACATTTGGCAGAACTATTTGACAATGTGAGAAAATGATACAGAAAGCAATATCCCGTAGTAATGCGAGCACAAAAGCATGTTGCTTCCACCATCTCATTTAAGTCACTCAGCAGGAAGGCTGCCCCACATAAGGCACTAAAGTTAAATTTCTCGTAGTAATGCAGAAAATATCATTTTTCGCAGCACTTTGTAGTATTCATTCCTCTATGTCGGTTAATTATATGAACAAATACAGAAGGTTTATATCGACAAGATGGACTTTGATGAGATGAAAACGTGGGTAGATGCACAGGAAAAAGGAAATCATTGCACACTAATGAGTACTATGAAAATCCTGATGACACAGGGAATAGGAGTGTAAGGGAGAGGAACTGAGATATGTAATGTGAAAATTCAGTTCACTAAGCAGTCAAGACAAAGTCAACCAAGCTTTATCTTGCTCCAGCCTGCTTCATTTATTAGTCAAGCCAAAATTAAGGAACTTTGGATGTTAACAGAGGTTAACTCTTCTAATACCCACAACCATGTCCAAGCTAATAATTGTCTCACAAAGGTATACTTGTTCCTCATCAATACACATTTATGCCATTTACTTCGAAAATACGAGCTAGGTACTAAAGAAGAAATAGACGAGCTGGGTATGAGGCACTAAATGGACACGAATGGACGCACTCCTGAACAAAGGAAGAATTTTGCAAGTTCAAGCTTGACCTTGTGAAGGTTTTGCGCAAGATTTTTTTTCATAACAAGGATGAATAAGAAAAGTAGAGTTTTTAAGAAGTTTAATCGCGAGTTGTCAATTTGGAGTAGCATTTATACATCAGCTTTACAAAGTATTGAATTTTAGGATAACAATTCCCGGAAGAACTATGACAAGCAAGACAGTTCTGAAGACTCCACCAGCCAAAAGAAGACTATATTAATGATGAAGGATCCATAGGTTGATCAGTGCCTAGATATACCAAAATATAATAAAACATGACCAGATGCAAGTATAGACCATAAGATCCAATAATCTGTATCAATATCTTCACAATTGGTATTCGTAAGTCATATGAATCGATATAAGCACCAGAGAAAAGTAACACAGAAGGATAGTTAGAAGTCAGGTCCATTGGCTAGGAGAAATGGGGTTCTATGATTGGGTTGAAAATAGTCATATGGAGACCACTCTCCAAAGCATAGGAGCAAAGGTTTTAGAAAACTGAATCGTCTAGAAGGAATTTGGCTTCAGTAGATAGGTGCTCTACGTTCTCTTAATAAAATGCATATATCATATGCTGATAAGAGAAAAAGAGAGTCAACCATAAAGGACGCACTGAGGAACTCTAATTAGGGAGGTGTTGGACATAAATACAGTCTTAATCCCTATAAGATGAGAACATATAAAGAGCTCTTCCATGAAAGAATGTCGGACAATGAAGGCAAAATATTTAACCATGGAACATTTAAACTAGAAGAAGGGATGAAACTGACTATTTATAAGCAGTGGAAAATTGAACCTGAAAAATCACAGAAGGGGATAATTCAATGAGCACCTAATCTGACTATCTAAAAGATTAATGGAAAACTCGCAGCGACTGGCCTTCCAGTTCTTCATTCTTTCTGATTTCTTCCGTCCGTAGCTTGACCACTGTCAACATAACTAGACATGGCATACGATAAACCAGTAATCATGGCGTAGGGATGATAAACAGTACCTGTCAAGTACCTCCTGCTTCAACCAAAGCCTAAACCTCTCCACCAGCAGCTCGCTTTCCCTCTCTATAAACGAAAGTTCCCTGATTGCAATGCTATATGTCAATGTCTCTCTCCTGAGCATCTTGTCATCTAGCTCTCCAACCTTCTCCCACAAGACATTATACTCTTCATCTGCCAGGTTTATTCTATTTTCCAAAATAGCCACCTTCTCCTTCACATCTTCACTGTCCTTATCCAATAACCTATCCCGCTCCTTCCCTGCAGTCAATGCAGCGTCCAGGACCTCCCCTGACTGCTTTACGAGTTCTAACTTCTCCTTCCTCAGCAGCCTCAGTTCCGAGTTAAGCACGTCGAGGACCTCTTTCTGCACCTCCTTCCTCTTTACTTTCACCTCCCTTAGGGCCTCGTGGACAGCATTCATATTCCCTTTAGACAACTTCACAGCTTCGATCCTTTGCAGGAGAACTGAAACAGACTCCAGCAGTCTCCGAGTGTAGCTGGAGAACTCATGATCCAGCGGACTAAGAACCTCGCTTTTCGCGCCAGCCTTGCCCCTAGTTTCGTCCTTGGACGTCACAGTTGCAGCAGGCGCGGCAAGAACGTGAACCCGCTGGACAGGAAATGGTAAAAAACCGACCGCGGCACAGAACAACGCCAATGTTAAAGGTCTCGCCAAATTCTTGCCCATTTCCGTTATCTTGCTAGCGTGAGAAAAGGGGGCAACAGGAGACGCGGATGTGGGGCGGCACCCACAGGGATGCTCATCGGACAATTCACATCGAAACCGGTACCGTGGGAATTTCACGCCGGTGGGAGGAATGGCACGGGAAATGCGATTGAAATACCGGTGCCTGGAGACAGGAACCACAGAGGATGTGAGCCGGGTAGAGGTATTGAAGGGACCGAATGTAGCCCAATCCATGGCGGGGCTGAGCGAGGAAAGACGGCCGCTCCTGCAAATATCTCGACGTCACACTCCGCCGAGCAGAGTTCTCTTCACCGCCCTGCCCATCTCTGATCCTTTCCCCGCGGCGCCTTCCCCCCGGCGGAGAGTCGCCGGAGCTTCAGCCTTTGGAGGAAGACTGAAGGGTTTTAGATAAACCAGAATAAAAGATATCTGACCGGGGAGGTTACAGCTTTTTACATGTGAACCGTGATAACTATTGTATTTGTGAATATAACCATATAAATTCCACCTGTATAACTACATATTCTAATAACAAGGAAAGTATTTAATACGACTTCTAACCGCTTAAATAAGGCCTTACATTTGCCACGTGTTAGAAGGATTATTTCCATATTTGGCGGGGACCCTCACCGGGAAGAAATTCAATCGACACCGTCCATTTTTTATGCGGGGGCATTCGCAGCGCCACGTCACCAGAACTGTCGAGCCAGCTTTCCCGCTCGCCCACTTTCCGCGCCAAATCTAAAAGACCCTAAGATTTGGCTCCCAAGACGACGGAATGGTGGTGTCGCTGGTGCAAAGGTCACTACATCGGCTGTGGGCTGACGAGCAACGGGAAGAACGAAGGCTCAGGCAGTGTTCGTGAATCAAATCTTCAGGACGTCTCACCGATTCCTTGCGTGCTCACCGATCCATTCTTCTTCAGATGTCCTGTTTTGATCTAAATCGTTGAACTCTTCGGGCGACGCTTGTTCTGAGGAAATGGCCGGCGGGCTCGGACCGAACGAGGGAGAGGTTTTCACTGGCGTTCGTTTCGTTCTCGTTGGGTTCGATTCCGTCTCCGAGGCGCAGGTGATTGTCTCATCTCCGACTGTATTTTGTTAGTTTCTATTTTGTATTCTCGATTGCCCAACTCTGCGCTCGTGCTCAATGTTTGCTAACATTGGATGATAAATTGATGCCTGCCGTGCCTCAGTATCGATCCGAGCTCGTCCGGAGGGGTGGCACTGACGTGGGTCGCTACCATTCAAGCTGCACTCATGTCATCGTCTTTGGTCGCGTTCATGTGCTCTCTCTTTCCCCCCAGACCGCGCTCATACGCACATATCTGTTAGGATGTCAAAAAATTTCACATGCCTTGTATTTTTTCAGGACGATCCAGTATGCATTGCTGCTAAGAATGATGGGAAGGTGCTTGTGACAGAATTATGGATCGAGGACAGTGTAGACTTTTCAGAACTTGCCAATGCCGACCGGGTAAGTTGAACAGCGTCTTATGCAGCTCAAAGTTGGGAAAAATGTCATGCTAAGTTCATATGATCGAAGATTCCATAAATGAAAGAAAGGAGCGTCGACTTCCTACAATGTCATGTCGCCGTAATTTCGTAGTGCCACTTGAAATGCTCAGGTTATTCTAACCAGGCGAATCGCTTTTATATTCTTGTATACACAAACCATGCTGCAAAGCAGGTTCTTGAATACCAATACCAGCCTCCACAACACAAGGAGGAAGTTCTTTAACTCTCCTTTGTTTTTAATCGAATATCCCTGAAATTAGAGTACATGCGCATTTTGTCACTCCCCAGTCTGTCAAGAATGCGTAATTTCAGAGTATAAGAGGCATGAAGATGTTGGAGTGGACTGGTTCTCCATGTAATCGGACAGAAAATATACCATAATTTTTGGCATCGAATGCCCTGGTCATTAGGTAACTAACAGATCATTTTGGACTATGCCTCAACTATAGCAGATGTACTTGAACTGTTAGATAATTATGGTCGATGATAAGATCACTGTTTATGTCGCTATTCCAGGACCTTAAATGAAACATTCATTTCATATTTAAGGACTAGTTCGGAGTTAACATTAAATTACCTGTTGGGTAATGAATAGAATAAGAATTGATTGTACAGTTCAAACTAGGGCACTAGTGCATGTATTTGACGTTTTTAATATTTTTATTATTTGTGTATACAGCAATGTTTTTCGACGGGTGGGATGCCAAGTTTATTGTTTGTGCGATACAAGCTGGATTTCATGAATGATTTATGTTATCAAAACGATTGGTTGGCTTATGTTGTGGTTGTTGTTTCGCATCACTTAGCTGTATTTTGTCAGACATTGAGAATACCAAGCCAGTGTGTGTTACATAGAGGATACAGCATCCCTGTTTCAGCTTTAATCTGTTAGGAAATAAGTTGGTTTCACCTCTACGTTTTAGGCAAGCATGCGATCATCATGGAACATGAGGTAGTGCATGGAAAAGTGGTAGTAAATAAATGTTGCACATGGTTTATGGATTTATGTTTTAACTAGTGCAGTTGCTGTAGATCCTTTTTTTCCCCTTTCATCACGTTATCATATTTTATTCATTCTATACCAAACTTAAAGGGCTGTCCTTATTTTGCGCCACAATTGGAAATGTGTCATCTCAATAGTCACGAAGAATTCAGAGTGAAACTACTTATGGTCATTTCAGCATCATGTCTGGTGTAACGAGTTCTCTAACACCAATCTCATAGAAATGACATTGAATCAACGACGTAGGCCTTGCTTGTGATCTATCTTCCTCCTCTCCTTAACTATAGACGTTATTGAAGCAAAAATGAGAAATTGTGATGAATACAGCTGAATAAACCCAGATGAAGTTGTACATCACAGAACCTGTTATTGAACAAACGGAATAAATGAGATACAAATCGTGCTTCATGAATTCAGCGAATAGACTAGTGATTAATATGGTCATGAACTCGGACTGGTGAATCCCTAGATGTATGCTTTAGTCACTTCATCGTGCTTGTTTGCACATTCCCAAGAAAATAGCAACGAACTAAAGCGTGGTGTGAATGCATGTTGCCACCCATGCACGTGTTGCATTGTGTGTGTTTTGTTAGATGTAATGGGATTTCTTAACACGTTTATCTGCACTTTGTAGTTCGTGGGTGCTTGTACAGGGGCCAACCTGCCTAGAATTTTGAATAAATTGATTTTTTTGCTCACATTTGGGATATGTTCATTGTTTGTTTTTGTTTCTCCCTTGCAGATTTTATACAAGCCAGTCAAAGACTTAAATGGGATTCCTGGAAGTGAATTATTGTTTATTTGTTTGACAGGATACCAAAGGCGAGAGCGTGATGATATCATGGTATGAAGTTCCCATCAATAAGTTTATTGATATCAAAGGCTTTATTCATGAAATATCTGCTGGCTCGAAGTTAAATCCTTGCCTTCATGAATGCAAGGATTTAGTTCTTAGGAACTGCATTATTTTATCACTACGAAATACTGAGGTGGGAAATTGGTGGGAAGAAAGGAATGGAATCTGTGAAAAGAGGGAGCGTTGACTTCTGAGATTTCAAGCCAGAACCTGGAAAAGCTCGGAGGCTACCGACTTGCCTTGGCCATGCTTGGCCATCAAATTTTTTGTAGTCTTTGCTTTTAAAATCAATCTTACAAAAAGTGTTAAGGGCTAAGCTTCTGGGATACACAGCTCGTCTAGGTCCCCAGACATCAACCTCTTCTCTTTACTATGATTTTGACAACCACCCCCCACATGCTGTTAGGCACCCTTGTGAATTTTGAGAGACTCCTTATGGTCGTCATTTATTCCGCTCCCCCACACTAAAGTGTCTAAAGAAAAACTTTGCTACTCATGCATTATACTACTCGAATTACTAAACAAAAAAATTGAAAACTTATTAAGAATTTGTGGAGTTTGCGTAAGAGACTATTTTAGTGCATCTATATATACATATATATATAAGTTGATTCTTGGGCATTTTTATGTGTACACTATTAATTGGGTGTATGCAGCCAAGAGTGTTCGTCAACTGTGGTGCCATGTTAAAGTTATTCGTTCATCTAACATAAACCCAATTACCAAAAAGCTTTGTAGATCCATCTATCTAATCACATGAGTTTGTTTGTATCTTCCAATAATAGGAGCGGTCAAATTAAAACGCGATCTATACTCATCTCTCGACAATAAAGTCAACTGAAACGTTATTCCTCTGTAGCATATAGTCTTTGGTTTCTGGTTTTTGGACCTACAACATAATCTTGTGTAATAATATGTCACTACCGCAACACCAGTCAAAAACCTGCTATTCCTCTGTATTATGCTTATGGGTGTTCTGTCAAAATTGAGACGTTTTTTTATTATATTTTTTTCCTTATATTTGAAAATCCTTTTTTATCTACATAGAATGCCTTTAATATTCGCTCTAAATGATACGCATGAACATAAAACTAAGTGCAACTTGAATTCATTTGAAAGCACTTAGTGCATTCCAAAATACATCACTCAGAAAATATGGATCTTAGTTTTTTTGCATCTGTCCATCTTGGTTAAATTTTGTATTATCAACCGACAGTTAATTATGCAGCCCATATCTACTTAGATCTGATTTCGAACCACATGATAGCAAACTCCAGATTAATAGTAGTCTTGATGATGATCTTGATATTATCAAACCACCCATGCAGTGCATATTGATGTATTTCTGCTTCATCGAACAGAATTTGAGGAACTCATTGTTTAATGGGTCTCTTTACCTGAATATTTCTCTTGATGTCGAGAAACATTTCTTGATGAGGTTGAGCACATTGCCCGCCTTAGTGTAGATTGTTACATTTTAGTCTGTGTCTTTGTTATTTATGCTGATCTCACATGAAATGGACGACAAAGTTTAGTTCCAATCATGTTAACTCACTCAGATCGCGCTTATTGAAACATGATTTTTTATCTACCATTTTCTTTTTACTAGTCAGCCCTAGCTTCTTCTTTTGAATGTTTGCAGAAAATGGTGGAATTGATGGGTGCACACTTCTCTAAGCCTTTGATAGCGAGCAAAGTCACTCATCTTGTTTGCTACAAATTCGAAGGTCTGTTCATTATTCTGAAAGTAATCTGTATTCAATATTTGTTGTTTCCAATTTGGGGACTGATGATTCATCTCTTAGTTAGCTGTCAAATTTCCCTGCTTTTTGCCCTTTTTCTACTTTCCTGTCATGCAAAAAGGCCCGAAACTTAAAGTTTGTCTGTAGCGGAACCAGGCTGAGCGGAAAATCTGTTCCGCACTACATATGTTATATATAATGACTGGTATAGAGTGAATGGAACAATAGAAACTAAAGTGTTGTACAGTGCGTTTAATAGTATTTTCTTATTATAAGAAAAAATGTAGGGAGTACCTGTGCTTTGATAACAAATCTCGCATGTGTGTGTGCAAGTATTTCGTTACTATGTACATAGAATTCTAATTATCATTTATGTCGTCATCCGTTTATCATTAGCCAATCATCCGTTCACTTAAAAAACTAATGTTCAAGGAATTCTATGTCACAGGCAATTAATGGAAATTTAATTTATGATAATGCTTTTTTCTCTGTCGATTGAGCTGGATTTTTCCGCTAGGGAACTTAATTTATTCACCTTCTCCGCGTGTCACTGCTGTAGAGGTTTGAAAGTCAGAATCAACGGGTTTTACTTTTCGCGTAGATTGTTGATCCTTGCTAATGAATGTGCTGTCTGTTATTGAAATGTATTTTTTCATTCAAAATCCATCGCTTTTTGTAATTGTATGCTGTAAGGAAGGTATTCTTATATCCTTTTTCAACTCCCTACCAGGTGAGAAGTATGAACTTGCAAGAAGAGTGAACATAAAACTTGTCAACCATCAGTGGTTAGAAGATTGGTATGATAAAACATTTTCCACGCTATTTTCATTTGTTTAAGTAAGCCATCTTCAAGAAGATGCTTACAAATTTTCTGTAGGCTATTTTTCTGATGCTTCGTTGTTCCAATTCTTCTCTCAGCTTAAGAGCATGGGAAATCCTTCCTGAAGATAACTACAGAATGAGGTGAAAAAAAATTCCTCCTTTCAAACTTATTTTTTATTTTGTTCTCATTACTACATGGGAAATTTTCATATTCTTGTTCATTATAAATTTAGTTACTTTTTTCATTATTGCATGGGAAAAACTAGGTCTTTACTAATGCTTTGTTGCCTCTTGGATATGTGTTGTCTCCGCGAACTGCCAAGAAAGAGTCCTCTAAGAGGGCCAATTGTACTGATGATCCACAGATGGTCTCATCTCCTAGCTCAGTTCCTTAAGTCTTAAAGGCAATCTACAGTCTTGTCGTCAGTGCCATAGGATTCATTTTGAATTTCAATCGTCATTCTCTTGTTTATTTTAGACAAATTGTTTAAATGATTTGTGGGATGACTTGTCGGATGAGCCATCTCAAGTTCTTCATGGAATGCTGTTAGCAACATGATTAACTACCTGCAGGATTTGCAGAGGCTCATATGCGAAGATATTATATTAAGTATCACAAAAAATAGCCTTAGTATTATGATGAAAATACCGATCCATTACTCTTAGGTGACCCCTATTATGATTAACCTAAAAATGAGCCATACTATGTGCGAAGAATTTTTTATCCTAAACAATAAAGCAGGATTAATCAACCAAACAAAACAATTCAGTCCTCTCTTTTTAAGAGATAGGATGGAGAGGATCTGGTCCACACTGGTCCCCAATGTGGGTATATTAGACCCATATTTAATGAAACTGCGGTTATATACCATTCGTCCTGATGGTGTTGTGTGCGTATCAAACGAGTCGACCTTGTTACAAAAAGAAGAATCTGCGGCTCTTCATATTTGGTATAGGGAATACAGATTTTCTTATTCATCACAATTTTCAAAACAAAATGACAATCTGCTTTAATGCATTTGTCTTTCCCATGAAAAACAATATTACCAGTAATGAAGATGCATGGTCATCAAGTTTCTGTGAGGCTGTTTAATTCATTGTTCTATTCTTAGCCTCACCACTAGGTCCTCGATAACAATTTGTCTCTCAATCTTCCAGAATATGAGATTCCCACCAATTAGCATAAAAGACATAATGGTAGATTGACTATCACTCGTTGATATTGTACAGTCTACATCAGAGGAAGCAACAGTATGTAGATTTACATTTGTTAGCATCTGGCAGGCCTTCCCTTAGAGCACATTTATTCAAGCCGAGTCTGCCAATAAGATGTCTAAATTATATCTTGTCACTAAAAAATAAAAAAAAATCACAAAGTTTAAATTTTCTCCATGGGAGTGGTTGCTGGTTTTGCTCTTAGCCTGCATGGCGAAAGAGATCTGTGGATTCTTTTCTTCAGGATGAAAAATCCCTTTGTTTCCTCAGAAAACTTCAATTCAGTATTCATTCTCTTTTCATTCAAAGGAGGGGGAGGAGGATATAGTAATTTGCATCGTTAATCACATGCCACAGTTTTATGTATCTATAGCCAGTATTGCATTCGATGGTTGATGCGGTATGAGATACATAGGAACTATTGAATGAAAATATGAAGGAATTCCTAATGTTTGAATCATGTTTTCTATTTTGCACTTAGACCAAGTTTTTTGTTGCGCAATAGTGCTACTTTTTATATTCGGAAGATACAAACCAATTTATTCATATGCATTATTATTTTTTCTTTTTCGTTTCACCTAAACGTATTCACTTGTGTAGCCTTCCTTTTTATTTTATGGAGTAATTGAAATTCTATTTTTATCATATGTTTATCCTAAGATCTCAAATGTCAGTACTTCTCTTTCTTTCTCAAGCACAAAAAATGTTTATTTTCTAAAGTGAAGGAAATGACACACCCATTCAACCAAAGAGTTAGTACACTAAAAAAATATTTGCTGGGTTAGCCTTGCATCTGCCGACGGATGTGACTTATCCCGTTTCTCTCTCTCTCTCTCTCTCTCTCTTCCCCGCACCCCACTGGAATGACCACACAGTTCGATGGTTTATTATTTGTACTAAATAGATGATGCATTCCTTTGGCCCAACTTATTAAAAAAGGAAACGTAATCTTGAATATTATGTTTTATTTTTTGGTTAGAGAGGCCTGAGGCAATTCCTTTTTTTTAGCATTTTCTGTGCCATATTTAAGGGTAAGCTACAATGCCAGTTCTGCTAAGTTTTCTTCACAGTGGCTGGGAGTTGGAGATTATGGAAGCTGAGGCAAAGAATTCTGATGATGACTCTGAAGAGTGTTCAAGGGTGCGACCAGCGAGGAAGAGAAGCACTACAGCAGAGAATTCGGATATGCAGAGTTCTATGCCAGTGTTACACAGTCCTAAACCATCATTGACAGTTCCGGACAGATCTATCATCAGGCAGGAAGATACTGTGCCATCAGAAGTTCTGCACTCCAAGCTTGACGAAGTTCGTGTGGGCAACGCATCATTATTGAATCCATCCAACGAGGACTGTTCTGCCATAGCTTCTAGCATGCGTAATAATGGCAATATCACCGAAAAATTAGCCATTCAAGATGGTAATGGGACAAAGGACAGTATCACGAACGATGCCCACCTCCAGAACCCAGATGTTACATCGGACAATATTGCTAATGTAAATGATGCAGGCATTGAATTGTCACCTGATTCCTTGCGTAGAAGCTTCTCAAGTTATGATGCAGCTGAAATGAAATCGGGTTCTGCGAGTTACTCTAGGAAAAATCGTAGAAAATCAGTATCTACGGAAGATTTAGCAAGGAGAATGGGTTGTCCTCAAAGAAGTTCAAAGGCAAACGACATTCCATCATCAGTTCCGAGAGGACAAACAAGTAACATTGGGTCAGCGGATGTTCAAAGCCCAACGACCATGAAAGAATTGTCCCGCATGGAGGGGGTATGTAATGCATTGCCTCAGAAGAGGAAGGTGCCTACTTTTTATCCCACGTCAATAAAGTCGGGACTTCAAAATAATTCAGAAACCTCTGCTCGGCAGAGTTACTCAGCAGCTTCGGTATCATCACAACTTGAAGCTTCAGGCAAGACTGCACACCAAGGTGGATCCCTTTCTTCACTTGATGATCTAAAAACAGCTGATGGGCATGGGAGTCCGTTAATTTCAAAATCTTCAGTTTCCGGAAAATTGAATGAGCGTGAACCTTCTTCAAGGGATAATGAAAAAGCTTGTTTAAATGGTAAAGTCATGAACTCATTTCACAATGCTGGATCAATAATGTCGCCCCTTCATCTGAGTTCAACAGATTTGAGCACAGTTGGTGCACTTTCTCGTTCAGGTTGCAGTACGAGTAGTTTACATCAAGATTGCGACCTAGGCAGGGCAACAAGATCTACATTGTGTATAAGGAATACTGTGGACAACCTTGGTGCACTATCCATTGATTGTCAAATGGTAGATGGCGTATCTGCCGAGTGCAAGAAACCAGAGCGATCTCCAAGTAAGACATCTGAGTTGTATCTCAAGCATGATAAAGTGGATGTTCCAATGTCTGATTTGTCAGACATTCATATCGGTGAAAATGGGCAAACCAGGCCGCTAAAGGACTCGGGGTCTTCATCAGGCGGTAATAGGGATTCTGGAATGGGGAAGTTATCGGATCCTTCAAATCCTAATCGCAGAGTGCTCTCGAAAGCTCTAAACAAGAAGGTAGTTGCAAAGAAAAAGCTGAGCTGCATCGGTAAACCAAGTGTAGAGAGCAAAGATAGAAGCTCTGTTTACTCGAACAAGGTTGTCAGTCCAAACTTATCCACCTGCAGAAGAGAGCAACAAAAAGAGCCTGAACATGGGCAGAAAGCCAATGACGAGAGTGACGAAATGGTTGGGATCTCCAAAGAAGTAATCATGGTGGGAATACTTCAAGAGCCACAAAATTCTTCAAGTAAAGGCGACAGGATAAGTTCTAGTGAGAACATCACCCTTAACCGGAACAATGAAACTGTGGGTGAACATGACTTCAAATCAATGGAAGTAGAAGGGCCTGTGCTCAAGGGGACATCTGTCAACGAGACAAATCTGATGGTTAAGTCAGTACATGGCAATACCGTAGTGAGGGGGAAGATGAAGAAGGCTCATCGTCTTGATGTTGCCCCCAATGCCAAGAATGTGCCAACAGTTGCAGTGCACCCGTCTGATGACACGGGGAAGGAAAATAAGTCCATAGAAAATACCCTTACAAACAGTAAGATAGATAAATTTGGTGGAAAGTCAGCTGAGAGTACCAAGAGAATTGATGAGACAGCCACTGGTCAACTTCAAAATCACCAGCATCCCAAGTATATTTCCGAGCCTTCATGCTTCATCTTGAGTGGGCACCGTCTACAAAGGAAAGAGTTTCAGAAGGTCATCAGGCGCTTAAAGGGGAGGCTCTGTAGAGACTCCCACAACTGGTCTTACCAGGCTACACATTTCATCTCCCCGGAGCCTATACGGAGGACTGAAAAATTTTTTGCAGCCGCGGCATCGGGAAGGTATGCGGCTAACCTCGTGCCCACTGTTCATTTCATGCGGATTCCATTGTTTAAATGACACCGATCCATGGTTCACGCTACATACAAATTCCATTAAAACCCCTGCGCATTCATTCCTTCCAAAGATTTCACTCGAGGAGATGTTCCTCTTGCTGAATGTAGGTGGATTCTAAAGTCTGACTACTTGGCCGCTTGTAACGAGGCTGGGAAGTTTTTGCCCGAAGAACCTTTTGAATGGTATGGCTGTGGCCTTACTGAAGACGGAGCAATCAACCTAGAAGCTCCCCGAAAATGGCGTCTTCTGAGGGAGGGAACCGGTCATGGTGCTTTCTATGGGGCGCGTATCATCGTCTATGGAGAATGCATTGCTCCTTCTCTGGTACTCCACCCTTTTCCTTCTCCCCCTTCCTCACTGACTGCCCTGATAGTTGATATATAACCTACAAGCATCTGCTCCCCGAATGAAGAAGCCTCTTTTAAGCATTTTGGCTCGCTATAGTTCCACCCCATAAACGCTTTTAAAAGCAGAAAGGCTGATGAGCTTCAACCCTTCTGTACTTCCATTAAAATCCCGTCAGAAGTAATGCTTCCTTTCTTTTCTTCTGTTTGGTTTTTTTTTTTCCGAGGAACTGCTGCCATCTTTGGTACGATTAATGCCACATTGGTGCTTGTTTCTTCTTTTGGTCTAGGACACTCTCAAGCGTGTGGTGAAGGCTGGCGACGGCGCGATACTGGCCACCTCCCCACCCTACACCCGCCTCATGAACTCGGGCGTTGACTTCGCTGTTATCAGTCCAAGCACGCCCCCGTCGGACCCGTGGGTTCAGGAGTTCCTGAGGCACGAGATCCCGTGCGTGCTGGCCGACTACCTAGTGGAGCACGTGTGCAAAGCAGGCTACCCTCTCGACCGCCACGTGCTGTACGGAAGCCTCCCCTTGGCCGAAAGGGCGCTAGCGGCGCTCCGCCGCCGATCGGAAGAGGCTGTCCCCCCCGGTGAGGAGACCTCCGACGACCTCAGCTGCTCAGTCTGCGGCTCCCGAGAGAGAGGGGACGTGATGCTAATCTGCGGTGACGAGCTGGGGCTCAGCGGCTGCGGCGCCGCCATGCACACCGACTGCTGCCAGCCGCCGCTCGCCGCCGTGCCAGAGGACGACTGGTTCTGCCCCCGCTGCGCTCAGGACAAACCCACCAGGAGATAGGTAGCCTTCTTCTCTGCATGTAGAGTAATGAGCTGAACCGCCCTTGTTGGAACCTTCATGTTAATAAATCTAGGCATCGTATTTGACAACCCCAAACACCCTACGGAAGAGATGTTCTAGCTCCTCCAGCAGCCCGCCAGTAATGGATTCTTTGGATATCGACTTGAAGAGCTGTTCTTCCCCTGTTCGAATTCCCCTACTGACTGCCTTAGACGCCTCCCCACGTTCCCTAAAGGTTTAGTCTTCGAATTTGAGTTAGCTGACTAAAAAAAATATCCAGTTCGATCTATACTCGGAATTCTGTATAGAAAAAACCAGTGGGCAGGCGAGATTCCTAGTTATCATGGAACCCTCTCGATATTAATCAATAAGATTCAGCAGCTTGGCTGCCGGCTGGAAGTCAAATGCACTCAGAAGCCACCATGTGAGCAGGGGAGGAGGGATTGGTGGGTCGCTCGCCTGAGACGTCCTTTGCATGTTAGAGATGCTGGCGAGGTCTTCCAACTGCCCATCTGTGTCAGTGGCTCCTTGCGGCGTAGACAACTCGATTGTCAATTCCCTCCTCCCTAAACTGTCAGAGTGCAACGTGGCTCGAAGCAACTCGTAGCCATTATTTGTGCAGGCCAACCCCGAGGAGGGAGAGACTCTCTCTCTCTCTCTCTCTCTCTCTCTCTCTCTCTCTACCAGATCCACACTATCCCTTCATGTCTGTATTAAAGTCGGACACGAAAATTTCTGGGCATGAATAGAAAACGCAACACCGCACATAGAGCCCAGATTTATTTTTTTTACTCGCGATCGTAGGAGCTGGAAGCCTCGAATCAGGAGAAGGGGTAGCGAAAGAGATCTACCCACCCCTGCGGCTGACGAAGAACCCAAGCTGGGGTCGACCCACCGGCGGGACAGCTCCGGCCGGCAGACGGGCCGGGAGAAGAATCCTATGTCGCGGCGGTGTAACGATGGGGCAACCTCATTGCCTTTCGCCCTGTTTTAACTCCGCCGCTGACCAGAAAAGCCTGCAGTCCGGGGCTCCGCCATGCTTCGACAGACGTCATCTCAGGATTCGTGATGTTGCCCAGCGCTGGCCTCGAGGGAGGAAGGATCAGATCCACGTGACGGATTCTCCGCCTCCCTCTCCGGCCTCTCCGATCATTTCCGCTGCCGGGGCTAAAAACCGGTTCCTCTCCATCATTTCGGGTACCTGTCGACTTCAAGTACAACGGATAGACGCGACCGGCTCGCTCATCGCCTCTGCCAGTGCCCGGCCCCACCGTCTGGTCCTCCCCCCCTCAACTGCCGGGCTCCCCTGGGCCGCCGCCATAATATTTTTCTTACGAGAGCTGAGGAGCGGGCCCTGTTGCAAAAGGCACGATTTTTAATGTCCAGGGAAATGAGTGCGAGGTGGTGATGGCGACGGCCATGGTGGCGTGCACATCACCGCGCTTAGCAGGTCGCATGCGTCCCATCGCTCCCCCTTCCGGCGGCCGTACGCCGGAAGACTCGGTCCACGGGGTCTCGCCACGGCTACTACGACGTCATGGCTGCCCTGTGAGCCCACCTCTCCTCGCAGACGGGGGCCACGGATGGCGCAGAGGGATCTTGGCTTGCAGCGGCGAGTTTTTACCGGGATTCGGCTGAGTAGAGCGAGCTCTTCCTTATTCGGGGGAATCGTTCGATCGCTCCTTTCTTTATCGCTGAAAATGGAGGGAGGGAGTTGCCTTTCCATGGCCGCTTTAGGGTTTCAGACCTACGGTGGAAAGGAGGGGGGTGGAAGTGTCAGGGGAGTTTTTTTCTGAATAGATTAAGGAGTTGAACCACTGCTGCATCATCATCCCCTCCCACGGTTTCGTCATCGAACTGCTCCCAGAAGAGCCCTGCAACGGGTCCAAGGAGGTAGCTGTCGTCATTACGTCTTCTCTCCCCAGAATTGTGAGGGAGTTTTCTCGATGAGGATCAGACTTCACGATATTTTACCCCGATTACGTCGCCGGTGGCCGTTAGCAGTGGAGGGCGGTGGCGCCGCACGCTGCCGCGCTGGCGATCCAAATCGACCCGTGGGATCCCTCGCCATCATACTCATCGTCCTGTTTCTCTCTCCCCCCCGTGCTCATCGAGGGCAGAAAGGACAGGCTACGACCCTCGCGTCACTCGTTGACACAGATCAAGATCTGTACTGCTTGCCTACGTCATCTCTCTACCTCTCTTCGGCGCGTTTATTACCCTGTCCTCTTCGGATCATCACCACCGTAGATGACTTCTGAAGAAAGACGTGCCGTGCTTGTGAGTAAGGCGGAAGGCCCGTGTTCTCACCCACTTCCCCCGTCGCCCCCAAGCCCGAACCTTGTGCCTTCCCACCACCATGAAAGCATGTTGGTTCCTCTCTCTCCAGCTGGGCTAGAGCACGACGAGCAATCAGAGTGAGGGCGCAGCATGTGCCATGCACTGGGGCGGGTGGAGTTTTAATAACTCGCTGACGATTCAATTGATTGCCAGATTATTTTAATGTCCGAATCGCATATTAGATCCTTAAAAATACAGAGGAATTCGGGATGCAGCTTCCAACCGCGTAAACTGACCGATCATTTTGTCTCATTCACGACTTCAACTGAGATTTAGAGCATCTCCGACCATCATCGGATGGATCGTCGTCGCCGGTGACGGCCACCGGAGAGGAGCCAGTTAGAACCCACCATGAACAACTAGAAGCTCGAGAAATGTAGATGGATTCAACAGTATATACACCATCAAGAGAGGTCGCGGATGAAACAAAAGTTCTAACGAGAGAGGGAGATGGCGGAGAAGATGACGACGATGACGATGAAGTTTTGAACCAGAGGCTGCAACAGCGAACGATCGAAACTGAGACAAAATTTTCCCTGCGGTGTCTTGTCCACTGTACAACCCGAGAATCCTTTCGGTCCCTCCCCGACTATTCCGTCCACCTTCATCAGCAGCTCAGAGCTTCGTACTTCACCGAGATGGCCCTGTTGAAGTTCACCTGAGAGAGAAGGCTCCCCACGGCTGCCAAGTCACGGCAGAACACCCCTTGAAAAACCGACGCGGCGGCTGCGGCCGCCGCTTTCGCGTCCGACGGCAGCTGCCGTCCGGTTTCGTCGGGCTCGCCCGACTCGACGTTTGATCTCTGTGAACCGCTGGATTCTCCTTCCGCCGCCGGCTTCTCCGTCGACTGTGGGGACAGAACAGCGGTGGCTGCTGCGGCTTGCAGCGCCGCAACAACGGCCCTCAGCCTCTGCTTCTCCGCTGCTTCTTCATCTATGACGGTGGACATGATACTCGAATAACCCTTCTGAAGAAGACGATACAGCATCAAAGCCGACATCTTCGCCTGGTCCCTCACCGCGTCCAAGTCTCGATAATCGTCGGTGAACTCCACCCGATCGACGAACGCCGCCGCCTTGTCGGGGCGGTGCTTGAGGGACAGCAAAAGATGGGCACGCTCCAATTCGGATCTGCTGCACCCCCTCCTCACGCCGATCAGCGCGTAGTAATCCACGTTGTAGGCTTCCCCCCTCGCCACCCTCTGCCGCAGCTCCTGAGTCCTCGACGCGAGGGCTCGCAGGTCGCCGGCGATGTCGTGGTAGCGGACGCCGTTGTGGAGGCGCCATGCCGGACCGGGAAGCTTCCGGTCCCGGAGAATGGCGTCGTAGAGGAGCTTGAGGTGGTCGAGGTCGCGAAGGCAATCGGGAAAGGAACGCACCGACTCAAGCAGGTCGGCCCTCGCGCGCAGTGCCGGTATGGACGCCGGATCGAGAGCAAGAGCTCGGTTGCAGTCGGCTATGGAGTCGGCGATCCTGCCGGAATCGCGGTAGGCGGCGGCGCGTCCGACCAGGCAGCCGGCGGCGAACGAGTGAGGGGTCCCTCGCCGGCCGTCCAAGAGCTTGGTGAAGTGGCGGACGGACTCGGTAGAGAGGCCCGCGTCGAGCGCCGCCACGGCGGCGGCGCGGCGCCGGAGGAGGAGCTTGATGTGACTGAGGAGGTGCGCAGCACCCTCCAATTCCGTCGAGAGAATCGGCGGAGATGAGCTCGACGTAGCCGGACAGGACTCGTTGCTGATGAGGATCGAAGAAGAAGAGAAATCGTCGTCGGAGAGGTAGCGGCTCTCTCGGCGCGACGCCGCCGTGGCGAGGCGCCTCCCGGTCTGGAGGAGCACCATGGCGTCCTCCATCATCCCTAGGTGGCTGCAGGCCTTGCCCAACACCATGTACCTGGAAAAAAGAGGCCGCCAGACAGGACAGGAAGCGCAAGGTCAGCGATCGAGCGCGGATGAATAAACGACAGCTCATCCATGTCTTGCGGAAAGGGATGGGACCTAGACCTAGCCCTGCTGTACTGCAGATTGAAGAAGATGAAACAGGAATTCCCATCACTACCCCCCTCCTCCCCTATTGCCCAGCTACTGCTGACTTGCAGGAAGGAGTTTGGGGGGCCGTTCTGGGGGACCGACTACCATGATCTGTCACTGCACACGGAAGGTCGTCCGGAGGAAAAAGTATAGGCTGAGCTCGGCGTTGAATTCGCCGGAGAGGACTGTACTGGCTTCTTCTTCTGTGGGTTCTTACACGCCCGCTAAGATCTTGAAGAGAAGGATAATCTAACAAGAACAGAACCTCTACCGCTGAAATTTCTTCCCCCTTTTTTTCTGATCGCTGTCAGGAAATGCGAGAGAAATGGATTTAGAGGAAGACAGGGTGCTGGATTGGAGGAAATGACATGAGAGTGCAGCACTGCATAACCCCAGGTGAGAGAGAGAGAGAGAGAGAGAGAGAGAGAGAGAGAGGGTACCTCCATGCTCCTTCATGGCCGCAGTCCCTGTACAACCCAGCCAACACCTTCCTCTTCATGTCTGCCATGGAGAGGCACCTGAGAACACCGTCGGGTTTAGAGTATTCCTCATCCGAGGAGGAAGAGGGCGAAGGAAGCAGCTTGACCCGCTCCCTGGACAGCTGCTGAGACTGGGAAGAAGACGAGGAGTTGTCCGAGGAGAGGGACGTGAACGAGTCGCCCACGTCCTCTGCCCCCCTGAAACTGGGGATGTAGTCCTGGAGCATGTCGGCGACCTCACGGAACCGCCGGAGATAAAGCAGAGACCGGGCCCTCAGCTCGAGCGCCGCCTCGTTGCGCGGGGAGACGGCGAGGGCGGCATCGAGCAGCCCGAGCGCCACTTGGACGTCGCACGGCTCCTCCGTCGAGATGAGCGCTCGCGCGTCCTTGACGTACTTTTCGACGATCTGCACCAAACCGAGAAATCACACAATGCCGGTGAGCAAAATAGATTCCCGAGTCTACGCACAGCCAGAAACGAGAGTGAGAGAGAGAAAGAGAGAGATAGAGATGCTGAACGGAGACGCCTCAGTGGCGGGCGGAACAGTAGAGGGATATCCCACCTTGCGGCTGCTCAGCCACCAGTGCTTCTTCTTCGGGCACAGCGAGGGAGAAGACGACATCTCGACCAGGGCATCACCTTGCAGTTGAAGAAGAAGAAGACAACGACCAGGGGAGCGGGAAGGGCGGGAGGGGCGGGAGCGGCGGGAGCGGCGGGCGTAGACAGCTTTCTTCCCCGCTCCCTCTCCTGCGGGATGGGAGGTGAGGAGTTGACGAGAGTGAAACAGACCGGAGAGAAGAGAGGGGAAGGGGCGGAGGGTAAGATCGGGAGCAGGGAACCCCACCACTCTATTTAAAGCGAGGGAAAAGATGTGGAGGGGGGGAGGGAGAAGATAGCCACAAACAGGGAACACCCGGAGCCGTAACAGGGACTCGGATGCCAGCCTTGACTGTGTCTTCCTTGCGCCATCCCTCCGCCGGGGTTTCCCTCCCGAAGAAAGCTTTCATCCTCTGTTTCTTCGCTGGCAAGATGCTCTCAGACCTAAATTTAAATAGGACGAAGAAAAAAAAGGACAAGCCTCTGCCACCTAAAAGCTCAGCAAGGAGAAGACCCGACCCAATCAGATAATACCTTATCGACCGGCTGTAGCACGTTATTCCGGCCCAGTCGCGGGTCATGCAGTCCACCCCAAAATACCAGATCGTGGACTTTTGAATATAATTTCCTTAATGCCCCTAATACTTGGTTGAAGTATCCCCTTCACCTCTTCTGAGTTATCCGTATCAACCCGACTCGGGAAACCCATTGAATTTTCAAATCGTGGCAGTAATGACCGAGTCAGCCGTTTCGATCGGATCAGCAGAAGAGATCTCAGTGCGGATCGGAAAGGGGTGTTATGGTCTTTCTAAGTTGGAACTAATAATTTTGGACCGGCAGAACCGGTGCCCGGATCTTTCCCTCCCTCTATTTTCGTCGTCTGTTTCCTTTCTCTTGCCGTCTTTGAGAAGGATAGGCCTTTCCGTGGGGCCCACACGACTTTCTGTTCAATCGGGCACATGAAAATCAGAGTAGAGAGAGAGGATAAAGGGGGGAGGGCAAAAAGGGGAAAGGTGGGGGGGGCCCTACTCCAAACTCCTCTCTCTCTCTGTCTCGCTCTGTATTCGGCCTCCTTAATCAAGCTCATGGGATGTATGCCGAACCATTAATGCACCTGCTGGCCCGCGCGCCCCTGGCCCTGATGCGTGATGGGGTCCAACTCTGGCCCACAATCCAGATGGTAGAGAGACAGCTGGGATGCGGGCCCGCTCAAATGACAGTTCGGCCTACGCCACGTAGGCTACTCATAGAGGTCAATCGCATCATTTAACGGCCACAGTTGACCACGTTATCGGGTCCCGTTAACGGGCATTGTGTAAGCGGTTGTTTCGGTTTTTTCTCTCCACCTGTCGCGGTTTTAATACTGTCGACGTACCCGTTATCAGACCGTTGGTGGCCACGTCCCCACAACCCAGTTAAGGCCTCCTGTGTAGCAGGTGGCTTCTTTGTCTGGTCTTTAATCTGGTGGTTAGATAATAAAAGGGGGAGGCCCTCCTCGGCCGTCGCCGGCTTCAAGCTCGTCCTCCTCCGGCGGCACTCCGGCAGAAGGCGGTCCTTCCCCACTTTCCTACGACGCCATTATTTCTCCAAGTTCCAGCGGGAACGTATGTACTGACTACTGTATGAGATTGTTTTTTCCCGAGCTCGAATGAGACGTCCATGACGAGCGAAAGCTTGTGTGTTTCTTTAATACACAATGAGGCGAGCTCTGCGGCTGGTGTCCCGCATTAACTGCTCCCCCTGCCATCGGATTCCTTCTGAGAGAAGAAGAAGATCTCGAAAGGGGAGGAGTTGATCGTATGATTCTGCTTGCGGGGAGATGGCTGCCGTAGTTTATACGCCTGGACGACAGCCCCCCTCGCCGCCCGGGAGTGTGCCTTGTTCTGCAGGCAAAGGGGGCCTCACGTCGAGAGATGTGGAGCATTTATAAACCTGGAAGTGTAGGTGGAGCACTAGCGCCGTATTTTGAACTTCTAAGATTATCCGAAGACACGTAGGCGGTGACTTGCGCATCAACACGCCCCGAGGAGGGGAGGGAAGAAGATCCCGAGTTGGGTGAAACCCAGTTAGACGGACATCAATTTTCCGATAAAGGGAAGACTACCTCCTCTCCTTCTCTCTCTCTCTCCCCCCACTGTGCCACAAGGGACAGCTTTATTGAAAGGAATGTTATGGAGAAGATCAGCTGGCGGACTAATTCCTCGCCGTCAGCGTCCATGTGATAGTTCCTATCGACGACATCTTCCTGCCGGTGCAACCGCATCTCCGGCCCCGGGATAGCGGCGAATGAGAGCCGGAGGGCGTCACTATCCATCCGGAGCAGACACACCTACTGGCTTCTTGTACCGCTGTTCATGTTGGACCCCCACATTAAGCCATCGGCAGTTAGCTCCGCCCCATCCAAGTTGCGCCAGCGACAAAGCAGGTCCCCCCACCTCCGCGGCCGATATCGACCATCAATTATCCTCTTCTCCTTCGTCTTTCTCCCCGTCTGTCTGCTCATCCTTCTCATTCCCTATCTTCGTCTTCCGCTTCCAGCGGAAAATGACGAGAAATGATCTTTCGACGTAAAACGGCCGGAATCGACCGCGGTTCATCTACCACACCCAAGTAAGAAGTGCAGTAGCAAGAACACTGAGCCAGTTCAGTCAAATTATCATACAATGCCGGGAATCTCTGGCGAGTAGATTCTCTAACCAGGGTCCGTCCATCCGTCCACAGTGCCCAGCGGTGGCAGAGGCAGAAGGGCTGGGCTTCGTAGGTCACGCGCTCGTGGAGATCGTAATCTCTCTCCTGAATTATGAGGGGAACATCCATAACAGGAGGAGCTATACCCATGGCCTCCAGCGCGTCCCCCCCCCCCCCCCCCCCCAACCCCACCATTTGCCTCCCTCTTCATCCACAGACTGGCCGGCTGTTCAGCGCCCTCCCCGCCAGATCTTTTCAACACCCCGCTGTCTTTTCTCAGCCGCCAACCCTCCCACAGTCACGGGTCTTGTCCAATCCTTCCTTTCCTCCCCCGGCGCCCCACATGGACAACCTCCCCCGGCACTGGTACGCCCTTCCCGACGACCGCAGTCCTCGTTGTATTCTCTGGCTGCTTCCTCCCGGATCACTGCACGGCCTACGGCCTCTTCTCTCCACGCTGTGGAGATTCGTCCTCGTTGGACATGGTTACAGATGAAGCCGAAGATTAAAACGCGGCCCTCTGGTCAAAGCACAAGAACGCTGGATTCTCTTTGGCCCGAGCGGATGAGGCCACCTCGGATTATCGAACTCCACGCCGGCCGATGATCCCATCAAAATCCAGACGGCCCTCGACGGGTGGTCAATCTATCGTTCGTTTGGCCTTCGACGGCTGTTTCTTCGGATTGATGGGCCCCACTCGCTCATCCGATCTTCGCTCCACAGCGGATTCTGGAGCTACCATAGAAGAACGAACAGGAAGCAAAGAAACCCTCCAGTTTAAAATATAGAAGGCACGAGTAAAAAAGACGCCCACCGTGGGGCTCGAACCCACGACCACAAGGTTAAGAGCCTTGCGCTCTACCGACTGAGCTAGACGGGCTGTCCTAATTTTTTCAAATGTTATTTTTACTTGCACCATAGGCCCTCAGAAAAGGGGCTCTCCCTGCAGCCGGATCCCTCTTCGCTCCCCGATGGCATTTATTAGATTTTGCAGAAGCCCCACGCAGGCCCTCGTCAAGTCCACGCCAAAACACAGTAAAATGCTCTTGAAATTACTACCCACAACGATTCTCCGCGATTCATCCCGGGCAGGCAGCCCCTTGATCGAAACTCGTCGTTCTTTCGCTATCCGCTCACATGGAGCTCGGCTCCATTCATTCCACGAGCTATATATAGATGCTTCGTTGCCGAATTAACTACAGGAAATTGGCGTAAATTAACTACAAATATCGATCATCGGGTATAGTCGATAGACCAACGCAGGAGCTTCTCTGAGGCAAGAACCTCGATCGGGCACAGCGCACCCCAGCTACCCGCGAAAGCTAAGCTCGTCCCCGACGGAGGTGCAGGCCGGCCTTCGAGGTGGCAGGCGCCGGCGAGGTGTCGGCTGGGAAGAAAGAATAAAAACATAGAGTTCCGCGTCATGCCCTCGAGACCGAAATCGGAAACAAAACGTACCCAGACAGACCGAACCTGCAGCTTCGGCCGTAGAGGCTCCGCAGCGGACCCCGCGGCCGCCCCTTCCTGCGGAGAGACGGCGAGTGAGCGAGAGAAAGCTTCACGGGAGGCAGATGAGGAAAGGCGTGACCTTTATTTAGCGGACCGGTCTTTCTTTGGGCGTACCTTACAGAGGGCCCAGTCAGCGGAGTCGAAGAAGGCTCTCCTCGTGTCCTGCAACGTAAAGCGCAGTTAGTTGGGTGTTGGTCAATAAATGGGTCGGTGATTTAATGGACCCATTCGGCCCATTTTGAAGTAAGCCAAAAAAAGGCACCTACTTTCGAGATTAGCGGCTTCTTCTTGGGCGCTATCCCCCCGTACTTCCTCTCCGGCGGCGGCTGCCATCGGCGCTCGAATTTCAGACCGGAACAGAGAAAGAAATCGAGAAATCAGTTCCGAGAAAACGGGAACCCGAGATACCTTCGCCTCCGGCGATATCATGCCCTCTCCGCCGCAGCCGTTCATCTCCAACCTCTCTCTCTCTCTCTCTCTCTCTGAGACAGAGAACGGGGGAGGAAGGAGGAGGGGAGAGACGGAGGTAGGGGGAAGAGAGACCACGCACTTTATAGAGCTTGTGGGTGGAGGGGAGAATCCGAAGCAAGCGACGGTTATGGGCGGCGGATAAGTGTGAGAAAGATGGAGGGGAAGATTCGGGGGTCAGAACCAGAAGCTCCGAATGTGCCCAGAAAGCGGGTGGGGGAGGAGGAAGATTAGAAAGGTCTGGCACTTGGGGAGGCGGAGGGCCGCGGCGGCGGCGCTGGTAAAGTAGGAAAGACGGCGAGTAGAATGTCTCCGTCCTTGCATGGTCCGCGAAGGACATCCTCACGGCCACTGCGTGCTTCCCGTGGGGGGGCCCACCGGCGGGAGACCTTTGGGCGGTGGGGTTACCCACTTCGAGGTTGACCCAGCATCTTCCCTGGATAATCCGCCGGTGTAGATGGGCCTTACCTACCACTCATGGCCCGGCCCACGGGAAAGATGGTACTCAAGTCAACCGTTTGACCTATGATGTCAAATAATATCTTTCACTGCGGTTTGCATTTTGTGTTACGAATTCCAGGGAAGATGAGCTCGCTGCGCATCTCAGGGGCAATTGGGGGCATCTCCTGAAGTCGAAGGGTTGACTTCGAAGAAATCATTGTGCGACTATTGTGATGATATAGTAAATGCTGTATATATTGTCGCAAATATCAGTATGTCGGTACATAATAATTACCAAGTGGGGTGAAGAATAAAGAAATATTTTATCGTATTGGAAATATTATTCATTTATGATCGGTTAAATTAATAGTTTTTATTATGCGGATGGGCCCTACACAGGTCAAACTTACAATACTCCACGGGGCTTGCTTTCTGTGCTACGAATTATAGGGAAGATGACGGGGGAGGAGATATTGTCAAAAATAGTAATCTACACGTTTCTGTGGTTACTCATAGGGCCACTTGGACCCATCTCCTGAAGTAGAAGGGTTGACTTCGAGGCAGCCAAGTCTCACACAATCGTCACCTAAAATTCTGATTTTACTACTAGACAATGGCCTAATTATTTTTTCTAAAAAATTTAACCACGGTTCCCCCAATTGTATAGAAAATAACCTATATATTATAGTAAATAAATAGATCAAAGTATATATATATCGGATATATATCGATAGAGATCGAGAGAGAGAGAGAGAGAGAGTACAGCTGGCTGGATCCCGTATCAGTATGTTGGTAGAAAATTACTACGTGGGTGACGAATGAAGATTTTTTTTTCATCGTGAAAATATTATTTATTTCTGACTAGTTAAATTATTAGATTTTATGATGGGGTTGGGCTCTGTACAGGTTGGGCTTAAAAAAAATCCGCCGTGGCGTTTTTCCCGGGCACGGCCCAAGCCCAATATTGGGATCTTCTTATTTGGACCTACGGATCAAACGGCTATTATTGTCTGGAAGTAAAGCTGCCAAAGGTCCAAGCACTCTGGGTAGGTCAGTCGCCGCCGTAAAGTCTGCCTGTAGGGAGACCGGGAGTTCGCCGGCGGCGGGTCGGCGACGGCGACACTGGGGGAGGGCTTTCGCCAACCTCGTGCCAGCTTGGCGTTGCCAGAGGGAGGAGGTAGGAAGCTAATTGCGGGCGAGATGGCGAGCGAAGATGGGCAGAAGGCTGGAGGCGCCGGGGGAGAAAATGAGGGGGCGGAGGAAATGGTGGTGAACCCTTGGGAGGTGGCGGTGAAGGGCGGGGGCAAGATTGACTACGACAAATTGATCGAGAAGTTCGGGTGCCAAAGGCTGGATTCCTCGCTTGTGCGCCGCGTTGAGCGCCTAACCTCGCGACCTGCCCACGTCTTCCTCCGCCGCGGCGTGTTCTTTGCGCACAGGTATAAGACAGTCGCTCGTCGATAGTCCCCGCACATCTCTCTCTCTCTCTCTTTTTTTTCCCTTCTCCTCATTCTATCCATTTGCCACCTCTCTCTCAATATCCTGACATCTTCTCGTGTACATAAATACATGTGTCATTTTCTTCCCTTTGTCTCATTGTTCACATCGAGAATAGTGATGTTCATTTATAAACTTGTTTTAATACACTACTATGTAGAGATCTGGAAGAGATTCTGGACCTTTACGAGCGTGGGGAGAAGTTCTACCTATACACAGGCCGGGGACCATCTTCAGAAGCATTGCATTTGGGGCATCTCGTCCCCTTCATGTTCACAAAGTAAGTTTCAGTTTTGCGACGCCACTCCCTGTCCACGAAATAACATTTTTTAATGATAACTTATTATCTACCCTAGAAAATTATGTAAAGATTTGGCCTCGTCATCATGTCGAATGATTGGACAACACTATTATTTTATTATTTTCTAAAACCATGGATGAGCGATGTAAAGTTAAAATGGAAGAGAGATAAATGGTGGATTTTTTACCATAGAGAACTGGTCTATATTATTATTATTAAGTTTGATTTCTTTATATTTTTTTAATGGGCATGCTATCTCATGAATATAATATGGCGATGATATTATCTTATAGGTGGTTTGGTGCATATAAATTGCTATCTTCCATTTTTTTCTTTCGGGTCTCTATGTTCTTCTAGCAATGGTGGTGGCAGTTAACTTGAGGCGATTCATGAACGTTATTGTGCTTGAAGCGATCGTCAATTGGTTGATTTCATTGTCAGCAAGTGAACATGAATGTTTTGCAGGTACTTGCAAGATGCTTTTAAGGTTCCTCTTGTTATACAACTTACAGACGATGAAAAGTGCATGTGGAAGAATCTCTCTGTTGAAGAGTGTAAAAGGCTTGCTCGTGAAAATGCAAAGGACATCATTGCCTGTGGTTTTGACATAACAAAGACTTTCATCTTCTCCGACTTTGATTATGTTGGTGGGTAAGTTGTGGTTGTATCATCTGTTTGTTCTTCAGTTGAATGAATTGTGATCTCGTCAGCCATATGCGCTTCTCATACCATATTGAACAGTTGAAAGCTGCCAATACAATTAGTAAACATGCGACTCATTTAAGCAATTGTATCGTATAGGCAAAGAAAACTAAAATATCTTATATTAATTATTTTTTATGCGACTTGAAACTCACCTATCTTCTCTTAAATGGTTGTTTATTTATTGTATCTTCAAATTCCATATTCCTTTTTCAGTGCTTGATTATCATCATCATTGCCGCCCTGCATGTTGAGATTAATGCTCTAATTTCTTGGTATCCATTTATTTCGCAGTGCCTTTTACGAGAACATGGTGCGAGTGTCGAAATGTGTCACATTCAATAAGGTCAGTTTACTCGTCTAGGTTTCCAGTATTCTGTTGTTCAACTTCTGTTTCATTTTAATAGAGTAACCGTCTTTTTTTTTTCTTTTTTCCTGCGAGTCATTTTTTCTGATTTTATGTCACCTAAAATTCTTAGAATTTTTAAACAGGTTGTGGGAATATTCGGCTTCACTCCAGAAGACCACATTGGGAAAATTAGTTTCCCTCCTGTGCAGGTGTTACTGATTCTATGCTCTTGCATCCTTACAGCGCATTCTACTTTATCTATGCTTATTTGTGGGTATTATCTTCGTTCATTAACTGTCCTTTATCAGAGGCCATTCATAGCTTAACATTGAAGCAATCATTTTGACTGCAGGCTGTTCCATCATTTCCAAGTTCATTTCCACATCTCTTCTCAGGCAATGATAATCTTCGCTGTTTGATTCCATGCGCCATTGACCAGGTGCTAAGATCCCACCTTATAATGCTCAACTGGCTTCATTTGCACGGTGAATAGTTATGGTTATTGTGCTTTGAGGCATTAGTTATTTGTCATTTTGTCAACATATGTGTCGCTGAGGCCACCCTGTTAACCAAGACACATCTTTATGCCATCAAAGAATCCATTTGGATTATGCCAATCTGTATCCAAGTTTTACTGATACTGATTTCAGGGATCAGAACTGAATCTGCTCTGGTTAATTTCTTTTTGTCAAGGACTTGAAATGCCATTATGACTATTTCTCCTAGATACGTGGTAGAATTACTCGGCCCATGGGCAGGTCAATGTGACATTAACCAAACCTCGCCTCTATACTTAACTTGCTCATCCTAGCCCTCTCTCTCCGCCTAATGTTTTGGGATACTCCGACAATTATATGCCCACTTATCCGATGCCCACCCCGCCTCATATTTTGCCAGAATGGTATTTCCTACCGATCTATGCTATTCTGTGCTGTATACCTCGCTAATTGGGAGGTGTAGCCACAAGAGCACCAGTCTCTGTATATCTTCTGGCTCTATCAATTTTCAGTCACAAATACTGCTAATCGGCTTATATTATTGCTGGTTCTGGTTCCTCGTATGATGTCTCTCCCCTAATTTATGCTGGTATCACTTTTTGAAGTACTCTGTCATGAATGACAACGAGCATTCCTGTTATGCAAAATAAATGAGGCTACGTGATTATTATTTGACGGGGGGACTCAGCTAGCCGCCTAAAAAATTGATTTCGTCCTTGAATTCAGAAGTTCGCTCTTTGATACCAGAGAAATATAAGTTTGGTGTTCTCTGGCAATTTCTTGATTCGTGGACGTGTTTTTTCTTGGAAAACTATTGGGAGATATTCCCCTGTTCATCTGGGTTGAATTTTGAGATGTTACAGCGAAGAACACTTTTATGTCTTGTTCCTGAATCCGTGAATCTTAATTTGATTCAATGAACTGTTGTTCAGCTCAGGCTTGGATGCAGGGTTTTCTAACGTTTGATCCTTTCCGATGGATAGTATCATGCTAATAAATTATATAGAGAGAATCTGATTTTTGAAGTTAGATACTGATCTCGTCATCTGAAAAGCATACGTTTGGGTCAACGTGGATTCGTTTTAAAGGGGATGACCTGAAGTATCATCACCAAGGGAGAAAGCGCCTTAATACTCTGGAAAATAAATAGTTTCTCCCTTCCTATGTCAATTATTGGAGACATTGTTCATCCATCTGAACTGCTGGGCCAGCTAATGACATGCACTCTCCTTTTTTTCATTCAGGACCCTTATTTCAGAATGACTAGGGATGTTGCTCCCAGGATAGGCTACCAAAAGCCCGCATTGATTGAATCATCCTTCTTTCCTGCTCTACAGGTATTTCCCTTACTAAAATTGTTTTATTTGATCTGCATGGGCATTGCCTTTCTTTTAGGAGAGAATTGGCTAAAAATGGGCACATATATAATGTAGAATGTAGAAACCTGGTGGTAAGATAATGGTTGTTCGTGTCAAGCCTGCCACATTTACAGTTATTTTATACTCTGGCAGACTTGTCGGCCACTGGTCGTGATATCTATTTCTGCAAAAATATAGATTCTAAGTGATTTGTGAATAGAGCATAGTCCCCCATGATGAATTTGAGAAAACTTTAATAGGCTAGGAGATATGTTTATAATATGAGTTAGAAAACCCTTTTTATGGGGCCAAATGAAATGAATATTCTTGTATGTAGGTACTTGTGATCACTTTTTGTGTACAATCCTCGTAATGCTTTCATTTCCCCATCCTGTTCACCTATTCAGAGTTGTGCGGCGTTCAATAAGTGATTACTTTTTATAGCTTTCTCTGATGCTTCTTTCAACCATTACAAATAATCATCGAATACAGAAATATTGCTTTTATATAGTCGGTTAGATAGGTACCTGCTAGAATTCCACATCAATTCATGTGTTAGATGCATGATATCTTAAAATCATGAGAGCATGTTGGATGAAGTTGGGCGAAATGTTTTTTTACTTTGTTGTTTCAGTGTCAAGGTCTGCCATATAACTAGTTTTAAATTATATATCTGTTGATTGCTATTTCATTATTTGGAAAAAAAAATATTTTATGGAACTTTTAAAGAAATATTTAGCATGAGCCATTCTGTTCGCAGGGTGAAACAGGAAAGATGTCAGCAAGTGATCCAAATTCTGCAATATATGTAACAGATTCAGCCAAAGATATTAAAAATAAGGTTTGCCTGCGACGTTACTATTAATATCTTACATGCCTACGTTGGTGCTTATTCAAGACTTTGAAATCGTGTAATCTTCAATGTTCAAATGTTTAATTTACCTTCGTCACTGTTGAAGGCGAGGTTTCTTCCGTATATCTTCATTTCTTCAGTATTTTTCGTCCAAATTTTGCTGTATATTGAATATATTTTTTCTCAGGATGGGTTAATCCTAGATAAAGGTAAATGTCTAAGGTCGGGTTCATTGTCTTTATCCTTTTGAGGGGTGGGATCTTAAGCTTACTATGCCGGGAACTCATTTTGCTCGGTTTTCGTTATGCTTTGTCATTACTTTTATCTCCAATATTATTCAGACCCTTCAGAGTATGTTTTGAAAGATGGGCAGTTGTTACATGTTATCAAAGAAAAAAAGTAGAAAAGACTATAGAAGAGAGGCAAAAATAAAGTGAATCTCCTAGCGTTAATACTGTTCTTCGGTCTTAATTGTACAACTCCCTAGAGAAATATTATTTCTTTATGGGCTATGAATGCAGGCATAACTCCCCCCAGCTTCCTACTAATTACTTAAAATACACCATATCTGTCATAGCAATCCTGAGTCACCTGTGATACAGTATATCGGCTTCCTGTTTTGGCCGAGTCCATCCCGTCTTAAAACCTTGGTTAGTCATCAAAGTCGTGATTTGGTGCCTAGTCAGTTTGCGTTGGAAACATGACCACGCCATTACTGGTAGGAATGTTGAGAACGAGCATGGTTTATAAAATATTACGTGGGAATTGCTGAACAATATTTGGACTAAACATCATGTGTAGTTTCTTGCTGGCCAAGTAGGGTAAAACAGCAAATACCGATCAAGAATTATTTTTCTTTGTTCTCAATTTCTAAATCTGTCGTAAAAAATGTCACTATCTTTCAGTTATTGTTCTACAACCTTTTACGCTAAAAGCTTGAAATGGTTAGTAATTTATTTCAGGTGAATAGGTATGCTTTTTCTGGTGGTCGAGATTCGATAGAGCTCCACCGGAAATATGGGGCAAACCTGGAGGTAAGTTTTTTGATTAAATGAATTTCTAAACATCATTTGAAAGGGTACTAACGTTGGGTCATGTCGTTTTTTTCTACATCCTATTTATCTGGATGGATAAAAGATTGTGTAATTACTCAAAAAATTTCAGGAATTCAAAATGGAGACTGATAGTTTAGGGTACAGAATTGCATCAATCCTTTTTCTCCTATTGAATATAGTGGCAAAAAACTCGGCTGGCTAATTTTGCATTTTATGGATGAACCTTTATGTACTTTTGTAATTATAAATATGTACAATATTAATAAACAGTGGAAGATTGATAAAAATGAAATAGATGAAGAATCTAGAAATAGAAGAAATCGGGCAAACAAGCTTTTCTCTGATATTCCCAACGAACTCAGTGTGGAGTATGCCATAGGAGCACGAAGGAAACCCGGATAACATGATGACAGTTGTTGAGAGGAAAAGTTCATAGAGAAGTGGAAAGGTAGCATGGGTTTGGATGTTGAATGATTAATTCCCATCGAAACTTCAATGGAGGAAATGTAGACAAATATTTGATTCTTAGCAGACTGGATCCCAGCATGAGATATCGGGAAATGGTAGAATTAGATCTGCGCCCGCCCTTGAACCCAGTCAACTAGGATTATGAGTTTCGTTAAATAATGATGATTGTCATCCATGACCTGGTATGAAGCAAAGTACAGTTGATTCTCGCTATAATCTGTCATCATGAATTTTGAAAATATTTTTTTTGTACATGCTATTCTTGGACAATAAGCAAATTTTGTAGCTGAGGTGGATATTGCTAATTCTAACCAGTAATTATATATTGGATTAGAAAAAAAATGAAAATAAACTCACATTTCCTTATCTAAACGTTACTGTTGAATTACTTACGTCACCATAGGGATCAAACGGTGAATTCTTTTAAAATTTCCACCAAAGTCCGGTGCACCATTGGTTACAAGTGGGATTTTATAAATTCTTTTGCCCTTCTTTTCCTTTTCCAGTTCCCTATTGAACCCCCTGCATGATCCAGTGTTTCTTTTGCAACAAACTATTAAAAAATAATTATGAGCTTATACATTCTGTACGGTCGCACCCTGGCTCCAAACTGCCAGACTGATCTATCCATCATGCATACCGTTTGCCAATCTATACCAAATTTATGATTGTTCTGAATCTCATACTTCATTTAGAATCTAGGCATTTCTTATATGTTCTCATTTCTCTTCAGCTGGCCGTTTGAGGTTTTTGTGCTGGAGAAGTAGTTTCGGTTACACTCATCATTTGCGGTTTTTGAGCCAGGTTGATATTCCGATTAAGTACCTTGGTTTCTTTCTTGAAGATGACGACGAACTGGAGCATATAAAGACGGTACGTAACATGATTTATTTGATCTAGCAGTGCCCTCGAGAAGTGTGTTCATCATCCAAGAGCCAACAATTCATACTAGACTACAATTTACCACAATTTTTTTTTTGCCTTTATCAGGAATACGGTGCTGGACGTATGCTGACAGGAGAGGTGAAGAAGCGCCTCATTGAAGTCCTGTCAGAAATGGTCGAGAGGCATTGCAAGGCTCGAGCTGCAGTAACAGATGAGGTAACCAATGTCCCAAGCTGTGTTTTGTTCTTCCCCGGATTAGGATCACATTGTTTCAAAGTAGATCATATTATGTTTTATCTATATATAAAAAATAAATTGGGACTACAATCTAACGTGATGATCATATATTTCATACAGTTTATCTCTCCTCTTGCGCCGTTTAGGTGCATTAACACAATCTCGCACATGCCCATAATTAGTGTCTGATGTAGGTGGGACATGAACATCTTTTTTCATGAGAAAACTGATGTAGGTGGGCAGTTGTCAATAGCCGGGGAATATAATCTAGTTCGGTTGTTTTGTTTACAACTCTCGCGTGTTTTAGAGTGATGAAGCTGGTCTTTTTTATCTTTCTTGGAGCGCCTCTGGATTTTGCCTGTTTCAGTCTCTGATATGGTGAATCTTCTCTTCTTCAAGATGGTGGATGCATTTATGGCCGTGAGACCTCTTCCCAACATGTTCAGCTGAGTCCCTTGTTCCCTCTGAGCTCCACTGAAACCCGCTGGGGCTGCCATATGTTCCGCATCCCCACTGGGCCAAAATGCGTGCAGGAGGGGGAACTCCAGAGCCACTGGTTTTCTTTGTTCTGATGCCGAGCTCATAAAGCTTATGAGTGGAGAGGGTTTCATTATTTATTGTCATAATTTTTTTTTCTTTTCCATCTTCCCCCAGCCCACCCATTCAGTCTGGTCCATCATTTTCTATCTTAAACAAGTTTTCTTCCAAATCAGTAATCTTCGAAATTTTTCTAGAGAGAGAGAGAGAGAGAGAGAGAGAGAGAGAGAGAGACGATGCATCAGGGATAATCAAAGGCCTGGAGCCGCCGCGTGGATGGAGAAAGTGTGTTTCTGGTCGCCGATATGAAGGGTGTGCTCGCCGATCGGAATCCTTCGGATCCCATTTGCGTCTGCGAAGCTCAGATCCTTGCAGACGTCGATGCCCAAACGGACACGCGCCCGCGACTGCGCCTGCACGTGGAGCTTCTCGAAAGCGACCAGCTGCCTGAACGGCGCACGGTGCCCCCCCGGCGGGCTCGCGAACAGGAGCACGGCGTGGGCGCCGTCCCTGTCTCCGGTGTTCTCGACGTCCACGAGCACGTCCATCGCCAGCTCGTCGCATCGAGCGTGGGTCACCCTCACGGCGGCGGCGCTCAGTAGGCGGCCGGTGGTGGAATTGGCCTGCGCGGGACCACGCCGGCCGGCGAGGTTGACGGAGATGGCGGTGGGCGCGTGGGCGATGGAGTGCGAGAAAGACGTGTAGCTGAGGCCGTGGCCAAAAGGGTACACCACGGGGCCTCTGTAGAACCTGTAGGACCTGCCGGGGTAGCCGTTCGCCGGGTCAGCCCTCATCGCCATGTCCGTCATCGGAACCTTGGCGGCGAACTCCTCTGGGTACCATGTTGTCGGCAACTTACCCCCTGCGTAACAAAAGCCCAAGTGAGATTCCCGGTGGATCTGACTGTTCAAGTGGAGGCGAGGAAAACAGAGGAGGCGATGGAGGTGGTCACCTGGATTGTGGGCGCCGAAGATGACGTCGGCGATGGCCGCCCCCCCGGCCTGGCCTGGGTAGCCGACCCAGAGGATGGCGGCGACCTTGGGGTTGTTATTCGCGAAGGTGACGTCCAGGGGGCCGCCGCTCATGAGGACCAGCACCGTGGGGCCTCTGGAGGCGGAGGCCACCTTGGAGACGAGCTCTTGCTGGCGGCCCGGCAGGAGGAGGTTCTCCCTGTCTTTCATCTCCGCCTCCTGCGACTGGTCGAGGCCCATCACCAGGATCGTCGCGTCCGACTCCCTCGCTGCGGTCACGGCCGCATCTATCGGCTGGTTCCCCGCGCAGGGTACGTTGTTGCATCCCGGCTGGTGGATGGTCCTTGCGTACCTTCCGATCCCCTGCAGCGGCGTCGCATACCGGCACGGCACGCCGGCGTAATTGCCGATCATGGTGGCGGTGGCGACGGAGTTGGGCCCAACGACGGCGACAGTGCGGAAGCGAGAAGCGGAGAGCGGGAGCGCAAGGCGGTCGTTCTTCAGCAGCACGATGCCCTGGAGAGCGGCCTCCAAGGCGAGGCTCTGATGGGCCGGCGAGCACACGTCAGACGGCCCAAGTTTCCCGAAGGGCTGCTCGGAGGGTTCGCCATCGAACATCCCCAGCCGCATCTGGACTGTGAGGGTGTTCGCAAGGGCGTAGTTCACCTGCAGCTCTTGCACCTTCCCCTTCCTCACGGCCCCTTCAGTGTGTTGTGCGAGAAAAGGCCCACAATCCAAATCCAGGCCTAATCAAGACCATAGACGAACAGTTTCAGGCGAAGGCCCACGCTCGAAGCAACAATAAGAAACCCACTGCGGTCGCCGGCGTCGTACCTGCTTTGATGGCGTCGGCGGCGGCGTCCTCGGGCGTGGATGCGTAGTGCTGAGAGTTGTAGAAGACGCCGACGGAGTCGCAGTCGGAGACTATGTAGCCATTGAGTTCCCACTCGCCCCTGATTGTGTCGAGCAGGAGGTTGCGGTCGGCGCAGGTGGGAACGCCGTCGACCTGATTGTACGAGCACATCACGCTGGCCACCTTCCCTTCCATCACGCACCTCTTGAAAGGCACGTTGAAGGTGTCCTCCAGGTCTTGCTTCGTCACCTGCGGCTCCATGGGGCGGGACGCGTCACCCAGAGGGATTACAAGGGAGGAAACTGGCGGCGCCACCGGTGCGTCGAGAGCTTACCCGGGCGTTGAAGTGGAAGCGATCGGCGCCCTTCCAGTTGTCGAGGTCGTAGGCGGTGTAATGCTTGCAGCAGGCGGCGACCTTGAGGCGGTTGGCCTCGTAGCCGTAGGGCTGCTGGAGGCCGCGGACGTAGCTGGCGGCGTACCTGCCAGCGACGAGGGGATCCTCGCCGGGGGTCTCCTGCCCCCTCCCCCACCGTGGGTCCCGGAAGATGTTCACGTTGGGGCTCCAGAAGGTCAGCCCCGCCTGCCCCCCGTTGTACATGGCCCGGCCCTCGTCGGACACCACCTGCTCACACACCACGACTCGCAAGATTAGGGAGGAGGAAACCCATGCAGAAGAAGATGTAGTCGGCGAAGAAGCTGGCATTTCCGTCGCCCGTGAAGTCGGCATTGATTGGTTTTAGGCGTCTGACGAGCCTGGCTGGATCAAGTTCCGATTAACCGCTGGAAATTAACCCTGAAGACCGCCAATCGCCGGACAAGCACCGTCCAGAGCTCTGACCAATAATCATCGGGCTGCCGACAATAAATATTTACCGACCAAGAAATGCTTTCAAAGATTTCAGCTTGGCCCAGGAATACAGAGAAATCGAGAGAGAGAGAGAGAGAGAGAGAGAGAGAGAGAGAGAGAGAGAGAGAGAGAGAGAGAGAGAGCCGCCAAGCTCTGACGTGGGATACCGACGGAAAGATAACTAAAGGTGATTGCCCACGGTACAGGTAGTTGGTGAAAGGAGGAATGTACCGATGTTCTGCGGTAGATCAGGTTTCCGATCCGGTCACTGGAATAACGGGAGTTTCAAGAAGCCGAACGAGGTGAGACTACGAAATCCGACTAACTCTTGGTGAGTGGGGTCATCAGTGGTCTAGATCTCAGCCCAGGAAGATGAAGATGGATCGGGTGGAGCTGTGTAAACTACAGGTCTCATAGATCTCTTCTCTAAACAAAAGCCAACTCCATGTATGTGTCATCATCCCCCTCAACAGGATAGCGAGAGATTCCCAGCAGATGGGTCTCCACTCTCCACCCAGAGCATAAAAAGGAGATGGAGGAGAAAGCTGGTGTGGCGTGGGGCTTTGGCTATGCAGTCGTATGAGTCCCTAATGAATCATCATGGATAAAGGAAAAGCGGCAGCAGTATCAACTTCTTAGATATTATCACCTTGCCGATGTCTTCCCAGAGGGAGGCGTTGAAGGAGGCGGCGGTGAGGATGACCTGGGGGAAGATGGTGGCGCCGGGAAAATGCCCGCCGAATCTGGTGCCGGGACCGACGTTGGACACGCCGTGGAGAGCCTCGGACCACCACTCGTAGCCGGATATCCCCAGTCTCGGCACCCCGGCGGCATTGTTCACTAGCAGCCGGATCTTCTCCTGCAGCGTCAGCCGCCCAATGAGGTCTTTCACGCGGTTGTGTACCGGCATCGTCCTCCGGCAGAAGGGCAGATGCGCGAACTCCTTTCCGCACGCGAAGGCCGGCCTCGCTTCGGCCCCCTGCCCGAGCAGGGCGGAGCAGGAGAGCACCAAGAGAACGGGGAGGAGGAGAGAGGATCGGTTACGGCGGTGGGGGGGTGGCGGTGACCCGGCCATTGGACCCGGGTGGCGGTTGTGATTGAGCAGGGACTGAGGTGAGGAAGGACGCGGGCGAGGGGGACAGGTATAAATAGGTGGGAAGACAGCGGTGGATGGCATCCGGCCTTTTCTCATTTGCCAGAGAGACTGAGTTGCCGTGTTCCCACTTCCGACTGGTCCTATTACAAGGCCGATAGATCTACTCCCTCTCTCTCTCTACTAAATTTATCTTCTTTCGCTTTGAGCAAGTCCACAGAGAGAGAGAGAGAGAGAGAGAGAGAGAGAGAGATGGCACTCCGACGAACGGTGGTGGCCGCCGGCAGGTTATCCCTACGGTGCCATGACATCAGTCGCGGGTCAGGAAGGCGACAAACAACAGGGATGAAGCCGCACGCTTTTTCTTCAATATTTTTCATGTTGTCCTAAAAAATCCTCTTTAATACACGTAGATTCCATCGACCCATGTATCGTCCCAGGTAACTACACGATTGAGACCTAGCGCATCACGATCAATTACACGAATATATACGATACAGTATTCTAAGCGATACTGACAAGTCCACCATTATTTTAGATCAAATTTCTTTCTTCGCGTATATTCCATGCAGTACTTGCCAAGTACTACCGCTCTATCCACAATCATACAGAAATCCTGAATGTGGTTTACTATTAGTTTATCGAGCGCTCTTATTCTAGTGTTAAATTATTTGGTAATATAATCCCCGATTTTAGGGATTCCCGAGGGACCCATCGATCCAGTTCCCAATACAATATCATTAGCTTACAGCCGCCATGAGTGCCGTATATTCGTCGTAATGCTTGCAGTTGTATGTTGGTTTTCAATCACCATTACCAGAATGTGGAATGGGGTCTAAGTCTCTAAGTTCTTTCCGGTACTTCGCTTGATAGTTCTCTTGGACTTGGGGTTCTTGAGTGGTATAGAAGTGCCTCCTGAGAGGGAAATGATCCAAGGTAACCCACACCGAGACGGGATTACATCTCATCCTACCCATTTGAGTGCAATCGCCTGCCCTCGTCACCCCAGTGGACGGAGATGGCCATTGATGGTACCCGAGTTTCTTGCAGGGGAAGCTCTCCCCTCTCATCTTTGTCTCGTTCGTCTCGATCACCCTACCTACTCTATCTACACTGTCTCATTCCAAGACTAGAGAGATAGAGAGAGAGAGAGAGCTGATCGATACGGACGAGATAAAGAGGAAAGGAGGCGGGGGGTAGGCAGGTCCACATTGCCGCATTGGGTCGACAACTGGGGAAGTTCGTCTCCAAGAAGGTAAGCTACGAGAGGAGAGACGTACAGCGGCGGCACGAGCTCTCCCAAGCGGCGGGCGTGGTGACGAGGTGGCCGGTAACGCCGTCAGGGGGCTAGGAATGGGGAGTTGCCGTGGGAATCCATTATCAGTTGCGAATGGATCACACGCGATGCTCCCCATAGCCGGAGAGTAGTTCCTACGAAGTTAAAGCTCACGAGGACCGCCGCACCGTAGTTGTGGCTAGTAAATGCCTCACGGATGCCTGGTCTGAGCTCGCACTCATATTCTCCATGGCTCTATTTAATTTTTCCAAGTGTTAGTACCGAATAGCTTTCGAAAACCGCCTCCTTGGTGGAGGGTAAGCAACCGATTATTAATAAGAAGAGACTCCATCCATCTCGAGGTGAGCCAAAGGGCATTGACTAGAGGTTCATTGTATGGGCTGCAACTCGTAGATTGAGCCCACGTGAAGACCCACCCGTCTGCGATAGGCCACAAGTGAGAGCCTAATAAAAATCGGGAACAACGTCCTGCATATTGCGTTAAATAATACCTTGATATTTGACTACTCATTGCGGCATATTTGTAAATTTTTATGTTAGGAGTATGTGGGAATCTACCCGAAACTTTTCTCCTGATTTTAGACTCAGATCGATCAGGATATGGATCCTCGCAAAGCCCACGTTTCATCCCTTTTTCCCGGGTCAATTTGGCCCGGTGTGGCTAGTGCTCAGCTCCAACAAGCTTATCTTCCTATATTTTGGGTCTCAAAGTTAAGTATTAGATTGATAATGACAATAAACTAGCTAAGTTGTTATGCGGGCAGGGTCTAAATTTTCCACAGGATCTCGTTATAAAGTCTAGAATCAAAATCAGGCGGTCAGCTGATCCTCTGCTTTTGATGCATCAGGAAGTCATCGGATTTGAACAGAGTCGGTTCATTCCCCCGGACAGCCCTTCCCTCAGACGGCCCGATCAGGTCGATCTGATCCCGACCCACTTCTGGGCCCGGGTGAGGACGATTGGACCTCGCTTTCTAATCAGTTTCTTCTTAATAGGTCCATTTTTGGCCAGGAAGGTTCAGGTGGCACGTGCAGAGGGAGCTGAGTCAGGAGGTGCTCATGAATGCGGTCATTGGACGCTTCGCTTGCCATTCTTATCCCCAACAACCCTCCGCCCCTCCCAACTCCAGCCAGCGCAGCGCGTGGGCCAGTGATGTGCCGTTGCCATCCATCCCCAGTTCAGGTGTTCCTTGATCTGGACAAGACAGCTGGTATTTCCTCCACACAGTCGAGTCGGCGGAAATCCAGAAGGGTTCCTCGTCGAAGGTGCACTTAATTTGGTGCCTGTTTTGTCAATCATATAATAAAGAACTGATGACAAACTTTGAGAAAATGAAGTCTCACATAGAACAACCATACAGAAGGGTGATTCCGAGGATGACGACGGGCTTTGGTGAGAGAGCGATCATAATATCTGGCTACAGCCTACTCTTCCTCACCGGACCCATCTCCTTGGCCTTCTCCCTCAACAGGTTCTTCTTGATCTTCCCAGTCGCGGTCTTGGGGAGCGGCCCGAACACAACGGACTTGGGAACCCAGTAGCCGGGGAGTTTCTCACGGCAGAAGTTGAGGATGTCCTCGGCCAGCGCCTGCTCGTTGCTCGGGTCCACCTTTCCCTTGGGAGTGACAAAGGCGCAGGGCGACTCCCCCCACTGCTCGTCTTCGCGAGCCACCACCGAGACCTCCAGCACCCCGGGGTGCCTGTACATCGCGCTCTCCACCTCCAAGCTGCTGATGTTCTCCCCGCCGGAGATGATGATGTCCTTGGCGCGGTCCTTCACCTCGATGTACCCGTCCGGATGCTTCACCGCCAGGTCGCCGGAATGATACCAGCCGCCGGCGAACGACTCGTTGTTAGCTTCCGGGTTCTTCAGGTACCCCTTCATGACGGTGTTTCCCCGCAACACTATCTCCCCCAGCGTACTGCCGTCGGCGGGGACGGGGGCCATCGTTTTCATGTCGACGACGTCGAGGCCTTCCAAGCCGATGTAGCGAACGCCTTGCCGGGCGTGCAGGCGCGCGCGAGCGTCCGCCGGCAGCAGATCCCACTCGGGCTTCCACGCACATACTGTAGACGGCCCGTACGTCTCAGAGAGGCCGTAGGTGTGGGTGACCCTGAAACCGAGCGAGGACATGGCGGCGAGCACCGAAGCTGGAGGAGCTGCCCCAGCGGTCATGACGTTGACGGTGCGCGGAAGGGGGAGGATGACCTCTCCGGGGGCTGCGTTGATGAGAGTGTTGAGAACGACAGGGGCTGCGCAGAAGTGAGTCACGCCGAGGTTGGCTATGGCCGAGTAGACAGCCCGAGCCGATACCTGCAGAGGCACCACCATCTGATAAAAACCCTAATCGTCACATTGCCCATCTTGGACAAGCAAGCCGATCGGCGACCATCGTACCTGGCGGAGGCATATGTTCGTCCCGCAGAGGGCGGCCAGGGTCCAAGTGTAGCACCAGCCGTTGCAGTGAAACATGGGGAGAGTCCACAGGTAAATGGCCCCCTCGTTCATTCCCCAGATGAGAGCTCCGCTGAGGGCCATGATGTAGGCGCCCCTATGGTGCAGCACCACGCCCTTGGGGCTGGACGTCGTCCCGGAGGTGTACCCCAGGGCGATGCTCTGCCACTCGTCATCAGGGGGCCTCCATGCGAACTCGGGGTCGCCGGACCGCAGGAACTCCTCGTACTCCATGGCCCCCTTGCTTCGCGCATACTGAAGCGTCCGCCTGTCGCAGGTCTCGTCGCCGATGACGATCAGGAGAGGGGGCCGGAAGCTGTGCTTTTTCTTGTCTTCCATGATCTTCAACGCGTCCTCCGCCAGAGTGAAGTACTCCTGGTCGACCATCACCACCTCGGCGACGGAGTGCTCCAGTAGGAAGGCGACTGTTGGAGGGTTTAGCCTGATGTTCACCGTGTTCACCACCGCTCCCGCCATTGGGACTCCGAAGTGAGCTTCGAAAATAGCGGGGACATTCGGCGCGATTACTGCGACCTGAGAAACCGCAGAGAACAGGTTCTGTTATCTTGGCTTCCAGCAGCCCTCTCTCTCTCTATCTCTCGACATGATTTTTCATGCTTCGACCCAGATGAAACTATTCTGCGAGCATCAATTTCAGCCGCTTTCCAACTGTCCGCTCGATTGCTCCAGAGATGACCGATTGAGGCAGATTCGGGTCCGCATCCAAGGACAAAAGTAAAGGGTGATGTTCGGCTCAGATGTCCCATGGAATTACAAAAATAAAAAATGCTCCTAAAATATCTTCTCTTTTTTAGCGGGTTGGAGGGTCAAAAAGGCGAGTCGTTTATGGAGCGGTCATCGTTGATGTCAACGTGGGGGGGAACCAAATGGACAAAAAATAAAGACCAAGAAAATATAGGGTCGAGGAAAACCTCCCTGTTGATAGGTCTGGGAGGGGGAGAGGGGATGCCAACAGAGACATGGCAGGGACGGAGGGGGATCCTCTCTGGAGGAATCGCCGGTAGGTTATTGCTCCGTCGATATGGATGCGGGGGGGGGGGGAGAAGGATGGACGAAGGAGGAAAATCACAAAAAAAGAAAGAGCCAATGGTGACTTAAATTTCGGGCGAGGAAACGGACTCGGAATGGGGACGGAGAGACGGCGGGCATCGAGCGGCGGATAGGAGGCGAGTAGGGAATCTCACCGTGGAACCGGGGCCGATCGAGCGGCTGGAGAGGGCGGAGGCGAGGCGGCGGCAGCGCTCGTAGGTCTGCCTCCATGTGTACCGGAGGGTGCCGTGGACGATCGACGCCCTCTCCGGATGAACATACGCCGCCCGCTCCAGGAACCACAGCGGCGTCAGCGCCGTGTAGTTTGCTGCGTTCTTCGGCAGATCGTCAATGTCCCGATCCATTCCAGGCTCCCCCCCGAAAGGCTTACCGAGAGAGAGAGAGAGGGAGAGAGTCTGCTCAGTATGCTGCTAATAGGAATAGAAGACCACTGCGACCGTCGGCGAGTTATACGGCGCCCCTGAGGCCTCTCAGCGCTTCATTCTCCCAGGTGATGTGCTTTGGACCGTACGCGTGGCCGATCAAGGCGGATCTTCACCGCGGTCGGAAAGCCCGGTCGCAGCAATCGTCAGTTGGGCACGAAAAAGACACGTGCGCAATCTATCTCAAGAGTGGAATTACTGATATGCCCTCAAAAATCTGGGCAATCTGCACCGTCCAATGGAGGGCTGAGCTCTCTGAGTGCGTCAAATTGTCACAAGCTGACGGAACCAGTGATGGTGTTGAGTTCGTCGTTGACTTTCTTGATTACCAGTTTTTGGATCGACTTTTTCTTCACACAGGGTACTGAATTTCAAAGCGATGGGTTCCGAAAAGGCTAAAAGGGAAATTACTCAGAAACCCTCGGCAATTGACTTATATTGCTTTCGTACATTTTCCGTAAGTTTGTTAAAAATCGATTGCATAAAGCGATTTCCAGGGTACTACATCTGACGGTTGTGATCAGTGGATTAAAAATTCACAAAAAAAGAAAGAGCCAATGGTGACTTAAATTTCGGGCGAGGAAACGGACTCGGAATGGGGACGGAGAGACGGCGGCTGGGCATCCCCGGCGGAACGATCACCACATCGAGCGAATTGCGGATAGGAGGCGAGTAGGGAATCTCACCGTGGAACCGGGGCCGATCGAGCGGCTGGAGAGGGCGGAGGCGAGGCGGCGGCAGCGCTCGTAGGTCTGCCTCCATGTGTACCGGAGGGTGCCGTGGACGATCGACGCCCTCTCCGGATGAACATACGCCGCCCGCTCCAGGAACCACAGCGGCGTCAGCGCCGTGTAGTTTGCTGCGTTCTTCGGCAGATCGTCAATGTCCCGATCCATTCCAGGCTCCCCCCCGAAAGGCTTACCGAGAGAGAGAGAGAGGGAGAGAGTCTGCTCAGTATGCTGCTAATAGGAATAGAAGACCACTGCGACCGTCGGCGAGTTATACGGCGCCCCTGAGGCCTCTCAGCGCTTCATTCTCCCAGGTGATGTGCTTTGGACCGTACGCGTGGCCGATCAAGGCGGGATCTTCACCGCGGTCGGAAAGCCCGGTCGCAGCAATCGTCAGTTGGGCACGAAAAAGACACGTGCGCAATCTATCTCAAGAGTGGAATTACTGATATGCCCTCAAAAATCTGGGCAATCTGCACCGTCCAATGGAGGGCTGAGCTCTCTGAGTGCGTCAAATTGTCACAAGCTGACGGAACCAGTGATGGTGTTGAGTTCGTCGTTGACTTTCTTGATTACCAGTTTTTGGATCGACTTTTTCTTCACACAGGGTACTGAATTTCAAAGCGATGGGTTCCGAAAAGGCTAAAAGGGAAATTACTCAGAAACCCTCGGCAATTGACTTATATTGCTTTCGTACATTTTCCGTAAGTTTGTTAAAAATCGATTGCATAAAGCGATTTCCAGGGTACTACATCTGACGGTTGTGATCAGTGGATTAAAAATTCACAAAAAAAGAAAGAGCCAATGGTGACTTAAATTTCGGGCGAGGAAACGGACTCGGAATGGGGACGGAGAGACGGCGGCTGGGCATCCCCGGCGGAACGATCACCACATCGAGCGAATTGCGGATAGGAGGCGAGTAGGGAATCTCACCGTGGAACCGGGGCCGATCGAGCGGCTGGAGAGGGCGGAGGCGAGGCGGCGGCAGCGCTCGTAGGTCTGCCTCCATGTGTACCGGAGGGTGCCGTGGACGATCGACGCCCTCTCCGGATGAACATACGCCGCCCGCTCCAGGAACCACAACGGAATAGAAGACCACTGCGACCGTCGGCGAGTTATACGGCGCCCCTGAGGCCTCTCAGCGCTTCATTCTCCCAGGTGATGTGCTTTGGACCGTACGCGTGGCCGATCAAGGCGGGATCTTCACCGCGGTCGGAAAGCCCGGTCGCAGCAATCGTCAGTTGGGCACGAAAAAGACACGTGCGCAATCTATCTCAAGAGTGGAATTACTGATATGCCCTCAAAAATCTGGGCAATCTGCACCGTCCAATGGAGGGCTGAGCTCTCTGAGTGCGTCAAATTGTCACAAGCTGACGGAACCAGTGATGGTGTTGAGTTCGTCGTTGACTTTCTTGATTACCAGTTTTTGGATCGACTTTTTCTTCACACAGGGTACTGAATTTCAAAGCGATGGGTTCCGAAAAGGCTAAAAGGGAAATTACTCAGAAACCCTCGGCAATTGACTTATATTGCTTTCGTACATTTTCCGTAAGTTTGTTAAAAATCGATTGCATAAAGCGATTTCCAGGGTACTACATCTGACGGTTGTGATCAGTGGATTAAAAATTCACAAAAAAAGAAAGAGCCAATGGTGACTTAAATTTCGGGCGAGGAAACGGACTCGGAATGGGGACGGAGAGACGGCGGCTGGGCATCCCCGGCGGAACGATCACCACATCGAGCGAATTGCGGATAGGAGGCGAGTAGGGAATCTCACCGTGGAACCGGGGCCGATCGAGCGGCTGGAGAGGGCGGAGGCGAGGCGGCGGCAGCGCTCGTAGGTCTGCCTCCATGTGTACCGGAGGGTGCCGTGGACGATCGACGCCCTCTCCGGATGAACATACGCCGCCCGCTCCAGGAACCACAGCGGCGTCAGCGCCGTGTAGTTTGCTGCGTTCTTCGGCAGATCGTCAATGTCCCGATCCATTCCAGGCTCCCCCCCGAAAGGCTTACCGAGAGAGAGAGAGAGGGAGAGAGTCTGCTCAGTATGCTGCTAATAGGAATAGAAGACCACTGCGACCGTCGGCGAGTTATACGGCGCCCCTGAGGCCTCTCAGCGCTTCATTCTCCCAGGTGATGTGCTTTGGACCGTACGCGTGGCCGATCAAGGCGGGATCTTCACCGCGGTCGGAAAGCCCGGTCGCAGCAATCGTCAGTTGGGCACGAAAAAGACACGTGCGCAATCTATCTCAAGAGTGGAATTACTGATATGCCCTCAAAAATCTGGGCAATCTGCACCGTCCAATGGAGGGCTGAGCTCTCTGAGTGCGTCAAATTGTCACAAGCTGACGGAACCAGTGATGGTGTTGAGTTCGTCGTTGACTTTCTTGATTACCAGTTTTTGGATCGACTTTTTCTTCACACAGGGTACTGAATTTCAAAGCGATGGGTTCCGAAAAGGCTAAAAGGGAAATTACTCAGAAACCCTCGGCAATTGACTTATATTGCTTTCGTACATTTTCCGTAAGTTTGTTAAAAATCGATTGCATAAAGCGATTTCCAGGGTACTACATCTGACGGTTGTGATCAGTGGATTAAAAATTCACAAAAAAAGAAAGAGCCAATGGTGACTTAAATTTCGGGCGAGGAAACGGACTCGGAATGGGGACGGAGAGACGGCGGCTGGGCATCCCCGGCGGAACGATCACCACATCGAGCGAATTGCGGATAGGAGGCGAGTAGGGAATCTCACCGTGGAACCGGGGCCGATCGAGCGGCTGGAGAGGGCGGAGGCGAGGCGGCGGCAGCGCTCGTAGGTCTGCCTCCATGTGTACCGGAGGGTGCCGTGGACGATCGACGCCCTCTCCGGATGAACATACGCCGCCCGCTCCAGGAACCACAGCGGCGTCAGCGCCGTGTAGTTTGCTGCGTTCTTCGGCAGATCGTCAATGTCCCGATCCATTCCAGGCTCCCCCCCGAAAGGCTTACCGAGAGAGAGAGAGAGGGAGAGAGTCTGCTCAGTATGCTGCTAATAGGAATAGAAGACCACTGCGACCGTCGGCGAGTTATACGGCGCCCCTGAGGCCTCTCAGCGCTTCATTCTCCCAGGTGATGTGCTTTGGACCGTACGCGTGGCCGATCAAGGCGGGATCTTCACCGCGGTCGGAAAGCCCGGTCGCAGCAATCGTCAGTTGGGCACGAAAAAGACACGTGCGCAATCTATCTCAAGAGTGGAATTACTGATATGCCCTCAAAAATCTGGGCAATCTGCACCGTCCAATGGAGGGCTGAGCTCTCTGAGTGCGTCAAATTGTCACAAGCTGACGGAACCAGTGATGGTGTTGAGTTCGTCGTTGACTTTCTTGATTACCAGTTTTTGGATCGACTTTTTCTTCACACAGGGTACTGAATTTCAAAGCGATGGGTTCCGAAAAGGCTAAAAGGGAAATTACTCAGAAACCCTCGGCAATTGACTTATATTGCTTTCGTACATTTTCCGTAAGTTTGTTAAAAATCGATTGCATAAAGCGATTTCCAGGGTACTACATCTGACGGTTGTGATCAGTGGATTAAAAATTCACAAAAAAAGAAAGAGCCAATGGTGACTTAAATTTCGGGCGAGGAAACGGACTCGGAATGGGGACGGAGAGACGGCGGCTGGGCATCCCCGGCGGAACGATCACCACATCGAGCGAATTGCGGATAGGAGGCGAGTAGGGAATCTCACCGTGGAACCGGGGCCGATCGAGCGGCTGGAGAGGGCGGAGGCGAGGCGGCGGCAGCGCTCGTAGGTCTGCCTCCATGTGTACCGGAGGGTGCCGTGGACGATCGACGCCCTCTCCGGATGAACATACGCCGCCCGCTCCAGGAACCACAGCGGCGTCAGCGCCGTGTAGTTTGCTGCGTTCTTCGGCAGATCGTCAATGTCCCGATCCATTCCAGGCTCCCCCCCGAAAGGCTTACCGAGAGAGAGAGAGAGGGAGAGAGTCTGCTCAGTATGCTGCTAATAGGAATAGAAGACCACTGCGACCGTCGGCGAGTTATACGGCGCCCCTGAGGCCTCTCAGCGCTTCATTCTCCCAGGTGATGTGCTTTGGACCGTACGCGTGGCCGATCAAGGCGGGATCTTCACCGCGGTCGGAAAGCCCGGTCGCAGCAATCGTCAGTTGGGCACGAAAAAGACACGTGCGCAATCTATCTCAAGAGTGGAATTACTGATATGCCCTCAAAAATCTGGGCAATCTGCACCGTCCAATGGAGGGCTGAGCTCTCTGAGTGCGTCAAATTGTCACAAGCTGACGGAACCAGTGATGGTGTTGAGTTCGTCGTTGACTTTCTTGATTACCAGTTTTTGGATCGACTTTTTCTTCACACAGGGTACTGAATTTCAAAGCGATGGGTTCCGAAAAGGCTAAAAGGGAAATTACTCAGAAACCCTCGGCAATTGACTTATATTGCTTTCGTACATTTTCCGTAAGTTTGTTAAAAATCGATTGCATAAAGCGATTTCCAGGGTACTACATCTGACGGTTGTGATCAGTGGATTAAAAATTCACAAAAAAAGAAAGAGCCAATGGTGACTTAAATTTCGGGCGAGGAAACGGACTCGGAATGGGGACGGAGAGACGGCGGCTGGGCATCCCCGGCGGAACGATCACCACATCGAGCGAATTGCGGATAGGAGGCGAGTAGGGAATCTCACCGTGGAACCGGGGCCGATCGAGCGGCTGGAGAGGGCGGAGGCGAGGCGGCGGCAGCGCTCGTAGGTCTGCCTCCATGTGTACCGGAGGGTGCCGTGGACGATCGACGCCCTCTCCGGATGAACATACGCCGCCCGCTCCAGGAACCACAACGGCGTCAGTGCCGTGTAGTTTGCTGCGTTCTTCGGCAGATCGTCAATGTCCCGATCCATTCCAGGCTCCCCCCCGAAAGGCTTACCGAGAGAGAGAGAGAGAGAGAGAGAGAGTCTGCTCAGTATGCTGCTAATAGGAATAGAAGACCACTGCGACCGTCGGCGAGTTCATAGCGGCGGTATTATACGGCGCCCCTGAGGCCTTTCAGCGCTTCATTCTCCCAGGTGATGTGCTTTGGACCGTACGCGTGGCCGATCAAGGCGGAATCTTCACCGCGGTCGGAAAGCCCGGTCGTCAGTTGGGCACGGAAAAGACACGTGCGCGATCTATCTCAAGAGTAGATTTACTGATATGCCCTCATAATCCGGGCAATCTCCACCGTCCAATGGAGGGCTGAGCTCTCTGAGTGCGTCAAATCGTCACAAGCTGACGGAACCAGTGATGGTGTTGAGTTCGTCGTTGACTTTCTTGATTACCAGTTTTTGGATCGACTTTTTCTTCACACAGGGTACTGAATTTCAAACCGATGAGTTCCGCACTGATGGAAAAGGCTAAAAGTGAAATTACTCAGAAACCCTCGTCAATTGGCTTATATTGCTATCGTACATTTTCCATATGTTTGTAAACACGTGTTAAAAATCGATTGCATAAAGCGATTTCCAGGGTACTACATCTGACGGTTGTGATCAGTGGATTAAAAATTCCCAAGACCACGAGAGATCCGATGGACGCGGACATCTCATCGTCGCCGCCTCTGGTTTGACTCTTTTGCACTCGCGAATGGTCTCGAGAACGGGCTTCCACCGCCGAGCAGCTCCGATGGGGGGGAACCGGGGTAAGTCAGCCGTGTCTCCCCCACTCCTCCCCTCTTTGCCCTCCTCGCTCGGCCAGTCGCCGCCGGCCACCACGCCGGGGAAAACCCTGCTGCCGGCGGCGAGCCCCCGCCCATTACCGGGTCTCCTCCGCTTTCCCCCCCGGCGAGCGCTCTCGACGGCCGCCATTTGGTGCTCCGGCAACCTGGAACCCGCCCTGTCAACAGGGCACAGCAGGTAGACCCCGCCGGCGCGCAGCCGTTCGTCGGCCTTCAAGGCGACGGCACGGCGAGTCCTCTTTGCCTCCTTGCCGCAGACGATCATGTGCCCCGGCGCCTCCAGCATCAGCTCCGCCACAGTCGCGAGGAGCTCGTGATGCCGGAGGTTCCCCTCCCAATCCACCAACTTCGTTATCTCCGATGCGCCGCCGCCCACGATACACGACACGTAGTCTGCAAACTTCATAGCCGCTTCTCTCTCTCTCTCTTCTCAGTATTCTTCCAGATACTGACTTCCCTCTCTATGAGATGCTCTCTCTTCGTTTCTGCTCGCAGTGACGAGACTGGTGGTAGACGATATATAGGCCTCCGGCGAAGGAGAGGGGAAGGAGGGGAAAGAAGGGATTGAGTGGCGCGTGGTGAGTCAGTGGGAGAGCGTCGGCACGCGGCGGCCAGCTGGTCTTCCTTAGACAGGAGCCAAAACTACTCTGAGACGGCACCTCTACACGTTTTTGGGTCAAACAGGAAAAGTCCACGCTCACAGCCGTCCATCTCATATCAGATTGCCTATTTTCTCAAAACTAGCATCAAATAAAACACCCAGTTTTCGGTGAACGAAAAATAGAGGTAATAACGACGGACGAAAGACAAGTGAATTGAGCAAAAAATTCCCAGTTCTAACAGCATCAGTATCTGTTATTGGTCAAACAGGAAGACCAAAGATCACCCTGCGATACTCCGATAATTCCCATTCATGTTGTAAGAATAACTTCTACGGCTAAAGAGAGAAAATCGCGACTGCTGATGCCCACACGAAGAAGAAGGTTGAAGAAGACGGCGGCGAGGTAGGGGGAAACGGGGGCTGCTACTTGATGTACTGAGAGACCCACTTGAAGCCTTCGCCATAGCCCATCTTACGGACGACGCTGCACATGAAGACCTCCATGGGGCGGAGGTTGGAGCCGTCGAGTTTCACTGTGCCCTTGCCGGTGGCGAAGCTGCTCAGGCCGAGGTAGTACTTCAGCTCCTCCTCAGACGCCGCGTATGGTATGTCGATCTTGTTGCCCAGAATGAGGAAGGGGACGTTGACTAGCGAGTCGTCGGAGAGGAGTCCATCGAGCTCCTTCTTCGACTCTACAAACCTCTCCTTGTCGGCGGCATCGACCAGGTAGACGACGGCGTCCACCTGCGCAGGCCCAGACGAGAAGCATACCTTCAGAAAGCTGGTCTGAGCCGAAAGAGGAAGCCTCTTCCTGGGGTATCATCCTCCAGAACCAGAAATTTGTATCAATTTTTTTCGGACGACTGTTGCCGCAGGATCTTAATGGGTTCATAGAAAACCAATCAACTTTCAAGAACACAGGTGAAAAATACGGCGGCTGCTGCTACCAAACGAAAAACCAATGTAAGCAGGCCCGTCGACGTCCGGGATAAAATGAGAATAAATGGTCTGATGCAGCAGAAATGAATAGGCCATAAACAGTCAGATGAATAATAAAATCAGACACAGATGGGAATTTCTCGATAGTCGCGCGCTCATGATGGGATCATTCCAGCACGGTCTACCATCCTCTCAAAACCCATGAGATTTATCCTTGATGCCACGCTCTACGAAGGCACAGAAACTTCTCAGACCCTCTTGATTCTACCTGAAATACAAATTCTCCAAAGAATTGGATTCCGATGGGAGATGGCGATACGGGGAACCAAAGCTTCTCCAGATCGCCGATAAAATATTAAGGGGCGCGTTAAATCTTCAAACTCCGCAACGTTTGATTTCTCCTTGAAATCTTTCCTCCGTTGCGCGGACGAGACTAGAAATGGGAATTTCCTCACCAAGCGGATTACTGGCATCGAAGAGGAGGAACCACGCGATTTTGCGGGGAACCCATCAAGAGCAAAAGCGTTGGGTTTCTTCATCCATACGACGGAAAAAACTCGGGAAATCTTTCGTTTACAAACACGGTGTGAATTGCAAATCTGAGAAACAAGAGGCCTTCCCGATGCTTACATCTACCGGGACTATCCACAAACGACCAGAAGAAGAGCAGATGAACAGATGGGCGGGTGGGTGGGTGTGGCGGGGGGCGGGGGGGGGCGATAGAGCACGAGAGTGAGGACCTTAGCGTAGTAGTCCTTCCAGACCCGGCGTGCGATCTGGTGGCCCCCCAAATCGAAGGCTTTGAATTTGATTTTGCCGATGCTCAGCTCCTCGGACGTCGGATGCTGGGTCGGCTGGTGCTGGACCAATCTCTGCTCAACAGATTTGGGCACAAACGACCAACCAATCAAACGAAGAAGGAGAAAACAAGGGAAATCGAGAAGTTAAAGAATCTCTCAAGGAATAATTGGGTACAACTACCCTCGGGCAAGGTCAGAGATCGAACCTCGTCCTTCAGCATGTGGAGCAGGGTGGTCTTGCCGGCATTATCGAGGCCCAGGAACAGGATCTTCGCCTCCTTGTTAGACAGCCCCAGGAAGGAGAGGATGCCGTAGAACCAGTCGAAGAGAAACATTTGAGCGGGTCCGGGGGGAACTGCACGGGATGATAACTCTCCCCGCCTCTCGGATTCCGACGGGCCAAGGCTGATGATGTGAATAAAACTGTCTCCTTCTCTCCCTCTCCTTCCTCCCAGCAGATCCCAGGGAGGTGAGGTGTGGATGCGTTTTTATGACCAGAGGGAGGTTGACAAAGAGAGGGCTTGAGAAGGAGAGTCCCGTCTGTCTCTTACACCAATGCCGATTCCCTGCGCGAGTATGAGCTACACCTCTCTCTCTCTTGCAAGCTCACCACTCCCCTCGCCCACTCGGTAAAATGGCGACCTGCAAGTAGCGGCGACCCACCGGGAATCTCGACGCCGACAGGTAGGACGGCCCGCAAACTTGGGGGGGGGGGGGGTGGTGATGTCGCCGGTAGGTGAAGTTTGAGGACAGGACTGCGATATGAAGTGCCTGGCAGCGATATTCATCGTCATCGAGCAAGCCCACGCCGTAGATTCTTCAATGGACGGGATTAGATCTGTCAGACTATTTCCGTTGCCCATTTCTCTTATTTTCTGCCTGTGTTTTTTATTGTAGAATCCAGCACGGTCGTATCCAGAAGGAGAAGGAGAGAGAAGAGGGATGACGGTTCAGCACGTGACTCTCTCTCTCTAGATCGGATTTCTGATCCTAATTGGGCCAAGTTGAATGGGTAGGCCCATTTAATACGTGGGACAGAGAATGATCGAAGGTACTATAAAAGCCAGGGAAACCCTAAGTCGACTTGTGCCGCCGTCGCGAGGGAGCTCTCCTGCAGGTATTCCCCGCGGCACTGCCGCCACGCAATTCCCAGAAAACAGCAGAGAAAATAGTGTTCTGGTTTTTTTTGTACTCTGCTTTCGCCTATCTTCTCTATCTACCATCTCCCACGTCGCCGGCTTAGGTCGGTTGTTGATTTGGCTGTGCAGTTGCAGCCGAAGAGATGGCCAAGTCGAAGAACCACACGGCGCATAACCAGTCGTTCAAGGCCCATAGAAATGGCATCAAGAAGCCCCGCAGGCACAGAAAAACCTCCACCAAAGGGGTACGACGTCCATATCATCATCCTTCATCACGTTCTCCCCGACATATGGATATATATTATTCGGCGTTTAATTTTTCGTGATCCGTGTAGTTACGGGCTTCTTTATGCCGAGTTTTTTCGATCTATGTAGTTACCAATTTCTTCTGCCTTCGTTATGGCGAGTTCTTCGTTACGGGCTTCTTCGGCTGTTTTTTTTCCGTAATTTCCTCGATTTTATGAGGCTGGTAGGTTAGGTTCCTTCGATCCATGTGGTTTTGTATTTTTCGCTTTGATTTCTGTTTTAAAGTCATCATCTGCGCTGGAATCTCTTCGGATTTAGTCGGAAATAACATGTGGAGTGTGCGCATCCCGAATCATATCAGATGGACCCAACTTATGCATATATTCTATAGTAATCGATAATTTGTGATCCGTATGTCTTTTATGTTCTTCGATCTATTAAGTTACCGATTTCTTCTTCCTGATCTAGAGCTGTTTTCTTCCGTGAATTCCCCGATTTTTGCGGTGGACAGGTTAATGTGTTTCGAACCACGTGATTTCTATTTTTTTGCTTTGATTTCTGTTTTAAATGCATCATCTGTGCGGGAATCTCTTACCGTTTCATCGGAAATAACGTGTGCATTGTGTGCATCCCGATTCGTATCAGATGGACCCGAAGTTCCTGAGGAACCAGAGGTACGCCAGGAAGCACAACAAGAAGAACGGCGAACTAGCGACAGAGGAAGAGGAGTAGGATGCTATCGACAAGTATCTTCTTCTTCTTTTTTATCCCCAGGGCAGTGGATTCCTTCTCTTTATGAATCGATTTCTCTTCCCAGTTACTACGCAATGACTGCTGAATGTGTTCCCGAAGTAGTTATGATTTTCAGTCATCTCGTGCACTCCCGATTCTGTAATACTTTACCAAGTTCTTCCCGTAGAACACGAACTGATGGGCCATCTTTCTGGATCACAATCATAGAAGGGCTGCCTGAAACAGCGGCAAGCACAGGACGAATCCCGATCTCAAAGATGACTGAAAACAGCCTGATTTGTCACAGATCCACATTCCGACCCTTATGTACATTTATTACCATAAAAAAAACCAGAATGCAACAGGGCGTCCGTCGACGAAGAACTGCTGTCTTGGCCTCCCTCGCACAGATTCACGGCCGCTTCACGATCAGCACCGGGCACTTAGCGTGGTGGATACAGTAATCGCTGACGCTCCCCAGCAGCGCCCTGAGGATTATTATATGGTGAGGAGAAGGGAAGGTTCGATCGATCTAAGAGAGGGTGGGAGGGGTACCTCTTGACGAAGCCGTAGCCATGGCTCCCCATGACCAGCAGGTCGGCTCCCACCCTGTCCACCGTGTCACAGATCACGTCCCTGGCGTCCCCCGTTGCAATCCTCTTCTCGACTTTGATCTGGTAGATTAAACCAAGATCATCAGGTAGATAAGAAAACCCCCCCATCAAGGAGAAGTAGAGAGGAGCCCATGGCGGAAGGAAAAGGACCGGACGTTGTCGTGGTTTTTCAGTATCGTCTGGGCCTTGTCGATGACGGAGTTCTCCACTTCCTTGTTGTACTGCTCCATCGTGGTGATCTCCTCGTCGGAGAACAGATACCCTGTCGAATTCGGACAAGAAAGAGGGTTACGGCGGAGAACAAGAGCAAGCCCGGTGGGCGTCGACCGTAATGGAAGCTTCCCATCTATTAAAGCCGCAGGGATGATGATGACTTCGCATCTATCGCATTTTCGCCCACCGGGGTTACCTGCATCTGGGAGCTCCAGATTAGGGACGTAATCGGTTTCGACGTCGTAAAATCCGTGCCGTTCTCTACGGGAATCTGGGGATCATGGCGGAAACGAATCAAACCCAAGTTCTTACAGGGAAAATCCGACGAGCTTCCCACGGCATCATGAACTTCAGTCATCTACCGGACTAGTGAGGGAAAAGAGGGGAAAACTGTAGGATCGATTGTTCGCATCTCTCGATGGGTTTGTACGCCGATCAGTGGTTTATGGGAGAAGTGGGCGGAGGAGGAGGAGGGCGAGGACTCACCGCTGGTGTCGGTGGATGGGTAGATCGGGGGAGGAGGCCTTGCGTAGAGGAGGACGACCGTGTTCTTGGCGCTCGCCGAGAGGACGTTGCGGAGGCTCCAGCCGAGGGCGTGCATGCTCTCCTCGCTGCCGTCCACAGCCACTGCGACCCTCCATTCCGCAGCCGCTTCGCCGTTCTTCTCCATCTCTGCGTCGAACCTTCTTCCTTCCACTCGGGCTTGGTAGATCGTTCCGGTCGTTCCGGTTTTACGGACGAACTGTCGGGACTGTCGGTGCCTCGAACCAGCCCCCAGATTTCGGCCCTCCAGCGGCTGGTTTTGGATGGGACATATGCCGTTTGGATACCCCTCCTCCATCCGAATCCGGAAAACTGCTGTCGGCGTCTGGCGGTGCCCGGGCGCCGCGTGCCATTCAGCGGCCATACAAGGATAGAAAGATAATTTATTGCTTCACATGCGATACGGGTGATAAAAAATAGTTGTTGGGTTTATCGGGTTATAATCCGTAATTCTTGATGACTAGGATAGTGGGATCATTTACTGGCTCAAATGAGAAACCAGAGATAAAAAAATGGTTTTTGAGTGTAGTTTGGTTTTTAGTCCGTAATTCTTGATGTCTGCATATGATCGTCTCATTTTCTCTCTCAGAAACCGAGAGTCTCTTATTAAGTAAGATTTTGTATAAGCGATGCATTAATCTTTCTGTAGATTGATCGTAACGCCCATTTGGATGCATACGATCGACCCAGAGAGAATCAGAGTAGGTGAACTCTCTTGCCAGTTCCTCTCAGCTTTTGGACAGAAAATTAGACGAGAAATAAAATCACGAGGGTTGATTTATTAATGAAGAACTGAAAAAGAGAAACTTTCGACAAATCAGGGGGAGTTGAGAACCGGATAACCCAAAAAGTTTTTTTTTAATTTTGATTTTTACAGATGAGGGGAAGCGTCTCCATGGCGCCGTCAATGGCGAGTTTATTACAGGAGGCGGCGGAGGCCGCCCTCGCCGGCGAGACTTCTAATGCTGCGGCTTGGGGCTCTTCACGATCAGGACGGGACACTTGACGTTCTGCGCGCAGTGATTGCTGACGCTCCCCAGGAACGCCCTGCATCATCAGATCGGCGACGACATCGTCGAAAATCTGCACATTCCAGAAATCTGCATCATTGATCGGTGTGGTGGTGTTACCTCTTGATGACGCCGTAGCCATGGCTGCCCAGGACCAGCATGTCGGCTCCGAGGTTTTCGACTGTCTCGCAGATGACGTCTCGGGGATCACCTTTCTCCACCTTGGTTTCCAACTTCACCTGACGAAGAACGGCCGAAGAGGGTCAGAAATCCTAAACGCAGGGCAGGCGTCGCTCACTGCGGTGGGAGATTTAGTTAGGGCCAAAAAAAATCACTCACATTCTGAGCGCCGCTGCAGGTCCGCGTTGCCTTCTGGATCACGGCGTCAGCGACCTCCTTGCTGTACTTCTCCATGGTGGCGATGATGTCCGAGGAGAAGAGATACCCTGGGGAGATCATGAATCAGGGCCTAAAGGGGGGGGGGGCGCAGATTCATGGGCGAGAAACATATAAACAGAGTAATAGAAGGAAATGGGTTGGTATCTTACCAGTGCCGT